ATTTATCTGCCTTTGATATTTTCCTGAAACAACAGAGTGGTACACTCAATCTGTGGACTCTTGTAAAGCAAAATAATATCAATTTTGAAAAAGATGCTAGGCTTTACTATGACGTTTAATGTCTTTTTGAGATTACTTTACTTGAATTGCGTGTCTGAAGGGAAGGGTTAGTGGACCACATCGACATAAGCGAAGATGTTGGCTTTAGCTTTTGAGATGATTAAAGATGCTAATTGATGTAGACCAACACAAGTAATTTGATAAACTGATTTGTGACAATAGATGAGAATTGCGCCAACATGTTAAGATGTTTGCACTGAATGTTTTAAGAAAATTAACGGACAGTTTGTAAATTTTGTAACCGATCAAAACTGAGTCATAAAGAACTATTTAATTACTCGTATAGTAAAAGCGATTAATAATGTTGTCGTTTATTCTATATTAAGTGTATACATTTTTTTTAAGTTCGATTGTTTTGGAAGCTAGTAGCTTATTGAAACACTCTCGAATCCGTTCCTGTAACCAACCAGTACAAAGCAAAGAACGTAAAGTGTATTGCTCTCTGAAACAACGGCTTGCCCCTGTATTGTGCAATATTGCCTTTTAAACCATATTTCTTATCTTCATAGTTCGCGAAATATTTTCAAAAATGTTTAGAGTGATAGGACTTAAAAGGAATAGATCCCGTTGATCAATACCATACAACTATTCAATAAAAATGTCTGCAATCATGATATCAAGGTATGTAATCAAAAAGAGGGTTCGCAAACACTGCTTATTATGCTTATGTTGCTGATGCTGCTTGTTAGAAAGGTTATATGGTGAAGCATGTTGTTAACCCGTAACATGCTGAAACCAATTGTCATCATTATAGTGCCAGACTGGTCTGTATATGTATACAGTCTATCAAGCTCTTTTCTGTTGATGGCTCACGGAAAGTATTTTAAATCCCTTTAACTTTGGATGGACTGTTTTAAGTTCATTGAAGGAGAAATCTTTTACAAAATTTTGCAAGTTATGGGTTAAGTTTTTTGTGTATGTAATCATTTCATATGTTTGTACCAATCATTGCTAATGATTAATACATGTACACTCAAGTTATCAAGAAACATTATAATGAACTTGTTGCCGCTATTCAGTAAGATGACATGGCTTCTCTGTGCCCTTTTGAAGTAAATATAAACAACTTTATGGGCCTTATAGTCAATCAATTGTCTATGATTTCCTTATCAGTAACTATTATTTCCTTTCATGTATTATTATAGTGATAATCCTGTACTTGCTCTGCTATGTTCCTTGTCCTGTGTTTGTTTGGGGTCCGTCCTCCTAAGCTCCTTGCCGGTGTCCTTGTTTTTGCAGGGTCGTGTAGGGGCCCGCGTTAATTGAACGCCGCCGTTCCTTGTTTATGTTCTTAGCATATTTTATCTAATTAAACTCTTTATTAATATGTGTTTATCTTAGTTTACATATTCTCATTAGATGAAAAAGTTGGGCAAATAGTAATACATATTATAAGATATATACGGCTTTATGGTTTTATTTTAGGGAAAAGTATTGTTATTGTAACACACTTTTCTGCTTATATTGACAATTAAAAAGTAATTTCTGTTAAAATGTCTAACACCAGTTAAATTCATTACATTTGGCCACTTCACTAATAAGAGTGATCTATAAGTTTTCATAATAGATAAAAGTATACACAAATTTAAAGGGGTTTTCCCTGAGTATTATTTTAATTCACTACCCTAATTGCATGCTGATAAAAATGATTTCTATGTTGAAGTTTTCTTTAAAGTGATACGTAGGAAAATGAATGACAAAAGTATTAATTGATAATATTTACTGAGATCATGCTAAAATGACATTTTTAAAGGCCTAACATGAATTTCTGTATAAATACTATATATTTTGGGTTTGAAGCGTAATTATATCTTTATATGTTGAAGGAAAATAAGTCACCGAGTAGTTTTAAAACAAGTCATGTAATAAGATATTGTAGATATTATTAGAATGAAATAGCTCTTAGTCATTCATTTGACATGCAATTTAACGTTTTCATAGTTCTCTGTAACAACTGTTGTGAAATCTAAATGCTCTGACCTAACCCACGTAGGTCAAGTTGAGAAACCACAATGTTATTCGTTATAAGGAGAAAAGTTTCGTTCATGTAACTGCTTTGTATATTCATTTCAAGGATTAAAATCGAAGAAATGAAAGTTTTGCCTGTGTCTCCCTTTTAAACTCAAACTTTGGCAGTTTTATAACGTTTGCTTTCTTTGTCTTAAATGGTAAGAGTGTAATATTTTGCCAACACACACGCACACGCTTACACACACGCACGCACGCACCAACACACACACACACACACACACGCACACCCTTACGTGCATATGGTGTAAAATGAGGGCACAGTTTTTTTGTAGGACAATGAGGACACTGCTTTCCAATAGGTAGATTCAAATGAAAATTTGTACAAACAAGCGTTACCTAATTATGGTTGTATTTTGATACTTTAAATTCCTCTTTACTTTAAAGTTTTTTTTAAAATATAATGTAAAAAAGGAATTTTAAACAGTATATTAGTGATGACCAACTGAGGACGTCCTCACTGTTCCAAAAAGTCCTCAGTTGCTGCTGTGTTGTCTGGCGTGTGTCCTTAGTCTCGACATATGCAAAGACACACACACACACACACAAACAGGCAAGCTTGGTACGATTAAAGAATATAACATTTCTCAAGTTTATGACTTAAACTCCTAATCTGTACATTTTGAACAGCATTGTGTATTGTATTTTTGCAATTTATGTAAATGGACAACGTATGAAATTGCCAATATGTTTAAGGATGATCAATGCCTATTTAAGGGTATAAGGCTTACGAAATATTTTTACAAATTATATCAACAGTAAAAGTGTGTTGTTTCTTTAATCAAATGGATGATTCTAGAAAGAGATGTAACATAATATGTCTCTGTTATTTAACACACATAAATATTGTTCATAAAAACAATAAAATGTTCCAGAACAAAATATTATGCTGCTATTTCAAGTAGGGTTTAGACCGTTTAGCAATGATTTATTACATTCACCATTCGCTTTAAAGGCAATATATAGGAACTTCCCTTTTTCTTTCATAGTATTCTTTTGCAACAGATATATAGCTTTATACACTTCAAGCTTGCATAAGTTAATGTAAAGTAAAGTATGTTAAACAAGAATAAACAATGCTTAATTACTAAGCTTTAGCACATCACTGTCAACGTTTTACTTCGAAACACTGTCTAGATAAATTTTCAAACTTTAAATACGCAGTTTTAGCGGATCACGGACTAAAACCGCCTCAGGAAGGCTTTTATTGGACAAGCAAGATTTTGCGTTGTGCATTACTGCTAAAGTGATATGACAGTCAAAAGAGAACCCTTACTGCGGCAAAAAGGCAAAGCGGTAAATTTGAAGCCTTTATATATCTAAACTGTAAGCATGAAGGTAAATATCAATAAATGCCACGCAACACCTACGAAGATTTCTTGTGAGAAACACAAAATGCAAATGTAGGGGCAACAGAAAAATATACCGCAATGTGTTGGATTTGATTTAATTACAATTACTTTCAGATTTTATTGTAATTGATTATTATTGATTACTCAGACTTGCCTCTGTTATCATTTGAATTACAATTACTTTAAGAGAGTAATTATATGCTTCTTGATTTCATTCAATGTAAAGTAGAATCCCTACTAATGACCACCCTTGAATTAAGACCACCCCCTTAATAAGACTATTTTTTACAAGGTTCTTTATGTCATCCAGAATTAAGAACAACCGCTTATCCACTTTTAAGACCACCTGATTCAGTCCAAATTCTTTGCTTTATTCTTAATTTGACCCAAGTATTGGGACCACTGATATTTTAAAATCAACACCTATCTAGATCTTAAATTTGTTGTTATGATCTGCTGATACTTAATTTCACAAGGTGTGAAAAACTGTTATTATTGGTTAGTGTATGAAATAAGGTGAGAAGGTAAATTTTAGAGTGCCTATTTTATTTTTTGTGAAGAATTAATTTTTATTTGATATTGAAATCTGACCAAAGAGAATTTTAAGTTAATTTTTTTTTCAGAAATATGTTTTCCTCTTGTTAGATATCAAAACATACTTTTATAGTGTCTTTTATATTGTATTTGTAGCTTAAGATACATACTGTTTAATTTTCATACAAAATGACTAAAACAGACCATGGTCATAAAGTATGTAAGCAATGATAAGAATATTTACAATTAAGACCAACCCACAATTAAGACCACTTCGGTCCAGCCAAGATGATGGTCTTAATTAAGGGCTTTTACTGTATAAATAGAATCACCAAGTGGTTTTATAACAAGTCTTGTGACTTGAAAAAATCCTGGAAGTTACAATAACAGATATTATAGATATTGTATGATTGAAATAAGTCTAACTCATTCAATTGGCATGTTCTTTAACGTTTCCAGAGATCACTCTGACAACTTTTGTGAAATATTAACCCTCTAATCTGACCCGCGTGGGTCAAGATAGGAAAACAACCTTTGATATTGCTTAATCCCTGATAATTCGTTGCATATATAAGGCTTCTCATTTTCTAACCTCTGTCCTGAATACATTTCATTTTACTCACCTCACGCACAGTAAAATTTCATTCGAATGTGTTATTAATTAGCTTTTTCTTTTAAATTGAGACAATGTTCACTTTTACCCATCTTAACAGAGTACATGCATCTTAACTTATAACTTTCATATCTCAAACTCTTTATCAATGAATTTTGAATTTTTCACTTATCCAAATGCGCAGTGTGTTTTTAAACCTTTGATAATATTATGATAATTTGTCTAAACTACGCCCTCACTGTAAAAACTGTATACCCTACCACAATAAGAGCTTGCAATAACTTTATTTCCTTTTACAATCTCAGTCTGATGATGTTCAGAAGCGAAACGAATCTTGACTGGTTAACAATGAACATCGCTCGGTGATTATAAGTATGTACACTTGCTTCCTTTATTGATCACATGTGGAGCGACATTGATACAAATGCAGATATAACAGCATGCTTTAGCATTGCAACTTTTCGAAAGTTTTGATCCTTTTCTAAGTTGACAATATGAAATTTGTTTTGTTGTTTGCGAGTATTATCTGTATAGTTGATTCATCATCTCTTTCATGTGGACCTGATGGATTATGCCAGTGTGAACATATAGATGTTATGGATTGTTCCGAAAACAAACAGTTACCATTACGGAACGTATGCGACTATATGGATGACAGTAAAGATGTCAACATTACTATTTTGCACCTGGAACAAAATGGATACAAATATATTCGGACAGAAGACATTAAAGGTTGTAAGTCATTGAAAACCCTGTTTCTAAAATTAAACGAAATAAGCTATATCGAAGATGTTTCTTTGACAAAGTTTGATAATCTAAAGACGCTTGATATGAGCTTTAACCAGCTTGATATTTATAATAAAAGAGGGACACTAGCATTTAAACTTCCGCTGTCTTTAAAAAAGCTTGTGCTGAACGGAAATCTGAATGTTACGGACTATGGCGGTGCTATGTATCCGGACCTTTCAAATCTTTTTAATGTTGAACAGCTTATTTTCGACGGACTGAAAGACACAAATTTTCCTGAATCTTACAGTGAAATTCAATCATTACGTAGCGTATCACTATCGGGTTTGGATGGAAATTGTAGTATTCCTTATGTTTCAAATGACACATTTCAACACCTTACTCATGTAAGAACATTGAATTTGTCGTTTTGTAATATACAAAATGTAACAGCTGGAGCTTTTGAAAAACTGAAGAATTTAGAAGTTTTAGATCTGTCTCAAAACATGAATATTGGATTTCGTAAAGCAATGAATGTTACATACAGTTTGCAATTCACAAAGATTAAATCATTGAATATTTCCAAACTTTATCCAACATTCGGACTTGGAACTCAAATAAAATTACAAGATTTGTGTTATCTTTGGAATACGAACTTAACTGAACTTGTTTTAAATGATAATAGAATTGAATTAATAGACAGAAATGTTTTAATATTGACGCCAAACACTTTGAAGATCATACGAGCGGAAGGTAACACGTTTACTTTTGGGCCATATTTATATCAACTAGGGTGTATGTCGCATTTAGAAGAATTCTATGGGAATTTCCAAAGTATTGTACGTGATCCACACTTGTATATGAAAGAGCCTAATACAGATGAGTCCGAATTAATTACTATCAACTTAAATTGTCCATATACTGCACCAGAAGTATTGAAAAACATAAGTAAAATGAAAAGAGGACTTTGTCCATATTTGAAGGACAATAAAATAAACATAAACAAGACTTTTCCCACTTTTCCAACAAAAATGAAAAGACTTGAATTTTCCAATTGTGGCATGCAGTACAATGCAACTGATATTTTAGTCAAACCAGTTCCATATAAAATGGAATATATTGATGCCTCAGATAACATTTTATACTCATGGATTGGACCTTGCGGCCCGTTTCCAAATGTTAAATATCTTAATTTATCTCGCAATTATTGTTCACACATTGGACTAAACTTCTTTGATAGCTTTAAAAATCTTGAAAATCTTCAGATTCAGGAGAACTTTCTAGGTTTAGTTCTCTCAAATGAATATTATGGACCAGGTATATTTGAAAAGTTATCGAAAGTGAAAGTTATGAACTTATCGTCAAACATTATTTCCTATCTACATCCAACTGTATTTTCAAACATGGTGCATCTGACGAAATTAGACCTAAGTGTGAACAATATTGAGTCTTTAGATATTGACGTTGGTTCCTTGAATAATTTGATGCATTTGAACTTAAAATTTAACTTTATCCACTCGGTCCCGTCTCATCTTAGGGAGAAGCTGGAATTGAATTCAAAACGTCTCAACAAGAACTTCACAATTGACCTCAGTAACAACACTTTATCAGTTAGTTGTGATGAAAAGGACTTTTTGGAATGGATGGTGAAACATAGAATGAATATGCTAAATTTCGATCATTACAAGTTTCATAACATGTCGGGTCAGCGTGTAAATGCGGAACGATTTGTAAGTGATGTAATGAAACTTGATATGGATTGTGGGTCATACAGTTTACCCATTGTAGCTTGCTCTATAGGTATATCCGTATACCTGTCAGTTGTTATTGGTGGTGCGATATACAAGAATAGGTGGAACTTACGATATCTTATGCGCATGAATAAGATCAAGCATTTTGGTTATATCAGACTACATCAATACTTTAACGAACCAGAAAGGTTCATGTATGATGCTTTTATTTCATATGCAAATGAAGATTTACGTTTTATTCTTGACGTAATGATGCCAAAACTAGAAGGACACGGTTTAAAATTGTGTTTACATGATAAAGACTTTTTACCAGGTAACAATATTGCTGACAATATTCTACAAGCCATCGGAGATAGCAGAAAGACCGTTGCTGTTATATCTGAACAGTTTCTAAAAAGCGAATGGTGTTTGTTTGAGTTCAACATGGCAAGAATGGAAAGCATTTACTCTCGTGGGGGTAATAGTTGTCTCATAATTGTTATATTGGAAGACGTCCCAACGCGAAATATGTCCAATGAAATGTTGGACTGGATGAGAACCAATACATACATAGAGTACACACAAGAGGAAAATGGTGAACTGCTGTTTTGGGACAATTTCCTGCGAGTCTTAAATGCATAATTCAGAAACAATAAATGAACGTTTCAGCATCAAATGAATTCGTCCATATATGTATACCAATTGTTAACTTATTCCAAATTAATATGCTTTTAGAATCATATGATACAATTTAATACATTGTTTTATTATATATACCTTTTGGTGATTGCAAGTTTGTGCTGTGCGTGCGTACATGTGTTTATTATGTTTATTTATTGTTATTGTTAAAGCGATTGTTGCATGGGTTAGTGAATAATTGACATGATTTTATTACTATTATACTTATGTATTGTATATACCTTCAATAACCATCATCTAGCATAGATTGATGCGAATTTATATAAATATTCAAGGATAGTTAAAATAAGAAAATCTTTTATTACACAAAAATTTTAAGATAATCTCAGGCATTTATTTTCCAAAGAAAATGTCTGTTTAATTATTTATGTTCAGATACATGTAATTATGATGAAATAGCCCCGGATCCGTTACTCATTTCGTCACAGGGGGAAGAAAAGTAGTTACTTTTATTCAACATTGTTTACTCTTCTTGACGCATGCATCTTTAAAGCTGTTATAAAATGCGGAAGCATTCAAATGACTCATCAATTTAGCGCCGGATATGCGTTCTAAAAACGTGATTTCCTATCCATTGAATATCGAAATGAATTACCCGTTGTTCATCATTTCTTCTTTGTTGTGCTCTCATAGCTAAACAATTGCTCAGTGACCATCTGTAACGCTGTATCAGTGACATGGTTTAGTGCAGAGAATGTTAGGCTAGGTTTAAATGTTGTTGGCGACATAGACAGAACCTGCATTATTTTGAAAGTTGCTTTTACTCCTTAATTATACATTTAGTTTTTATTGTTGCATCTTTTTAGATTTTTATAATCTAAAACAGTATAGCATTTCTCCGTTTTTACGTTTAACAATGCGATTTTTTTGTATCGGGGACATTTAGATTATTATAACCTAGATCTGGCTAATTTGTAATGTTTAGAGAAAAAACACTCGGAAAACTTAAAAAATGTGGAACAATGAGTAAATTTACTTTAACGATTTAAAACAAATACAATTTGTTTATTGGTGACAAGCTCTTATTAAAATAGTAGAATATTCGCATCCTGTATGTGTTTTATTATTGAATTGATTTATGTATTACATAGATCTTTGTCATGGTTTCCACAGCTTTCCACGCTCGACAAGCAAGCACTCCGCGTCAGATTTCCAAACAAATGTGCTAAAGTCAGCTTGGCTCTGAATTCATGTTATTTTTAGGAAGATGTTGAAAATAAATTATCATTAAATATTACAAAGTGAAAAATGAAATTAATTTGATATATTGATAACGACACTTAAAATCTACATAAATTTGCAGGAAGAAGTCATAATATGCTAAAATAGATCTAACTGCGTTAGTACCGTTGATAAATACTGCAAAATCAGTCAATTATCGCACATTATATGTAAGACTAGTCATTACTTGAATTTTGATTTTCTTTTCTCATCATCTTACTCTTGGCTCAATGTTCGATTTTCTTGAAAATGTTTGGATCACTTGGAGGCATTCAGCTTTAATGTACGAGATAATAATCAAGTAAAATGGTAATTAGATCTAGAGATATATGTAGATCTATACGAACTCCTTTTGTATAAGTGACCAATTCTAGCCATTTTTATTCCATCGTCTTTATAATAATTATATTTCAAAGGCCCATTAAGCACCCATTAGAAGAAGAAAATATTTCTCAAAAGTGTTATATTGTGTGTACTGTAGAATATTAGCCTTTAAAACTTAAGTTCGAATCCAACACATTGCAGTACATTTGCTGTTGCAGCTGCATTTGTTTTTTGTGTCATGCACCAGAAATGTTCGTTTTTGTTTGACGTTGCGTGACATTTATTAATATTTCCCGTAATGCGTACATTTTAGGTATGCAAATGTTTCAAATTAACCGCACTTCTTGTATTTTGCCTTGTTTACCAGAGGCAGGCTGTTTTCTTTTCACTGTCATGTCACTTTAACATTAATGCACAACGCAGAACATTGAGAAACATTGTCCAATAAAAGCCTTCCGGGGGCGGTGTTTGTCAGACATTCGCTAGAACTGCTTATCAAAACCAGAAGGTAAGTGTTTGAAAATTTATTTAGACAGTGCTTGGAAGTTGAAAGTAGACGACGATGTGCTAAAGGTAAATGATATAGAATTTTATGTTCGTGTTATATTTTCTTTTGAGTAAAACTTTTTTCTAGAATCATCCATAAGGTTATGGAAACATCATTATTTTACTGCTGATATATTTTGTTAATATTTCATTAGATATAGTCATGCACCTTTAATATATATATATCTGATTTCTGCATTCATTATACATATGTATTAATATTCAACATTAAAATATATTAAAATGTTGGCTTTATATTTAGATAACTTGCAAATACAATACGCAATGCTGTTCATAGTGAACAGGAGTTTAAGCAATCAACTTGAGTATTGTTACATTACACGTGCCAAGCTACCCTAGGTGCGTGTCTATGGGTAAGATATTACGAACTTACCAATTAATGCAGAAATAACATTGACTAGAAAGCATACGTTATGAAACGTTATGAAACTTTCAAAATTTTAGTTTTAAAACACTTCAACATTAAACAATAGTTTTAAAGAAAACTTCAACAATGACATAAACATAGATATACTTTTCTTAAATGTTATATCTTGAAGATAAACTTACATAGAGGCTTTCCGTTTCAGATTAACTAGTTATTTTTTTTTATCAAAATTAGATATTTATGAAACAATGTTTTGAAGTTAAGCCTATATTGTGGTAAAGCAAACCAATAACACCTTTCAAATAATATCACTGAAAGTGTTTATCGCACCAATATTTTATGATATTTTTTTCTTACTTAAACTGTCCTTAATAAGATTTATTTAATCATTCATTTAAATGCCGCGTCTATAATTTTTTAAGAGCTCAATAGTCTAGACCAATAACTTGTGTGTAACCTTCAGAATTTGCATTATGAATTTGTCCTTCTGTGATCTTGAAACAGTCCATTCAAAGTTCAAGGGATTTAAATTAAAATACTAAAACTGAGCTGCCAGCAGGTTAGAGCCTGGTCAGACTGCACGGATGTGCATGCTAGCCTAGCACTTTAATCAGCATCAGCAACATCAGCATTTTCAGCGGGGTCTGCGAGCGCAGGCATTTTTTGATTGAATAGTTGTATGGTATTTCTCAACGGCAATTTTTCTTTTTAAGTCGTATCACTCCAAACATTTTTGAAAATATTTCGCGAGCTATATGAAGATGAGGAATATGGTTTAAAAGACAATATTGCATAACGTGATACAGTACAATACAATTTCGAAATGTAAACAAATTTAAGCCGAAAGTCGGTTGCAAAAATTATATATTTGACGTTTATAATCAAGGACAAAGCAGTATTTAACCAGAAAATAATAACCAGAAAATGATAGTTCATGTAAAGACAGTACAAAAATCAATATGAAACATGTAAACATCATCGGGAAAATAATATATTAACAACAACGGTATTAATCACTTTCACTATTACAAAGTTCTTTATGACCCAGTTTTGATTGTTAACAAAATTAACAAACTGTCCGTTAATTTCCTTAAAACATTCTTGCGAAAATCTAAACACGATGTGCCAATTCACACACAAAGTCAAACATCAGTATATCACAATAATTAATTTTGTAGTCGCTATACATGTAGACAGTGTCTTTTACAGCTTATCGAACTTATGGATATTCTGGTCAATAACATTTTATCACTGTAAAACACATGTAATACTGAACTTTATAAATGCGTTTGATATCAAAACATCTCAATCTGCTTGACACCAATTAGAAAAAATGGCGTCTCGGCCAAAATAATCAACCGGATATATACCCTTTCTAACTAGCCGTAATGACAATGTAGTGTTAAGATCATACATATACCAAAGAAGCTGCGTAGATCTCAGAAGTGCACAAAGGCTATGTCCCTCTGTCCTCGGCCAACACTGCTCCAGTATCTATATCAATGAGCATCTTTAATCATCTCAAAAGTTAAAGCCCATGTCGTTGCTAATGGCGTTGTGGCCCACAGTTCCACTAACTCTTCCCCTCAGACTCCCAATACAAACAAACAAACAAGGTTATCTCATGTTCACTTGTTTTCTCTGTACGCAGATATGTCAATGATATGATCTGGCTTGCATGCAGTGTTTAGAAAAGTTAAAATATAAACTGAGTATATTTCCTAAAGTAATCGTATCATTTTTTCTTTTAAAAAGAGGGTAATGATGACCCCGGATCACTAACCTAGAATCAAAAGGTCACAATTCTGTAATAAAGATCGGTAAAAAGATCATTTAGGGTGTGTAATTACATACATACATAACATACATTATTTGTGTAATATTTGTATCAGATTGTCTTTACAATTGTCAGATAAATTTACTCCATCTTCTTTGAATAAGTATAAAACCTTCCACATTTTATAATTTTGTTACATTTATACAATAACACGTATTGTTGATTGAATATTTAATACACTTCATGAAACTAAGTAACTTTTTGACTTTTGTACACAGACCTAAAAAAACATGTTTGAGAAAAATGCAAAAATGGCAATTTTTCTTTGATATTTTCTAAGATTTTTATTGTACAAAAAAACCTTTAAAACATGACTTACAATGTGGTTTACATATAATTTGATTTTTTTCTACTATGTTTAAACATATTTATATGGAAATAAGCATAATTTGTGCAAGATATTATATATCAGTTTTGCATAAAATTGGCAGCCATATTGGTCGCCATCTTTGAAGATTCTGAAGAAAGTTTGTTAGATTTAAACTTTTGAAAAGGGGAAACTATATGCATGCTTTGGTATAAGTTTAAGGTCTGTAACAAATTGGAATGAATGAGCAATTATGTACGTTAAATTTATATGGCGGCCATTTTGAAAATGGCGGTAATCTTGAACGAGCAGAGATTTATTTGGGCCCGCTTCACTTTTGAAATCTACATGGTCTAAAGATAATTTCCTGACAGTTTCATGCTTGTATCACAATTTGAACTATTTTGACAGCAGAAGCCTAATTTCCCACCCCACTACTGAGCAAATTACCTGTTTCATCAGATGATCACTAGTGCTTATATTTTCTTCATTTCACTGCCCTTTGGAACTGACCGTCGTCTCGGTAGCGTCGTTACCCTGTCTATTCCTGAAAGCAGATGGTAATATTGCCTTATTATTTTCTTCATCCAAACCAATAAACGAATAATTAAAAAATGGTTTGAATTTGTTAAAAGTGTCTCACTGTTCCAATGATGCTCATTTCAGGTTTTGACTTTTTGTCGGAAATATTACTTACACTTTTGACTAACCCTTTTGCTGCGCTTTGTTGAAATTATCGTACAAAGGCTTAGCAGTTACCAGGAGTAAATAATGCAACATAATGATATTCTTAAACTACCCTAAAATTTCACTTAAAACAGTAATTGCACATGGAAAAAGCACTATTACCAAAAATTTAATATTTGGTGTATGAATAAAAGACAACACCAATATCAAATATTTTGTTCAATATACGTAAACAATACGAGACTTCATTTATAAATTGCATTTTGTGTCACCAGATGCTCATAATGTCTTATATTCTTTATGAATATTTTAACAAATTAAATTTCCCGTTTTTTTTTAATATTAAAAGACATATGAAAATAGAAATTTATAATTAAGTTTTTTAAATCAACTGGATATAATTTTACATAAAGCAATCGAATAAGAAATATAATTATGAAATGAACACAATTATAATTTCACATTAATGTTAAAGATATAGACTTGATTATTGGTGTTTATACTGTTGTTAATGACAACAATGTTTTCCTATAAAATATTTAATTATTTTAATTTCAAATGCTATTAACAATTTATTGGCGATTTTCATTTGATTTGAATTTTACTCAAATTGAATACTTTCAAATGTTCTTTAATTGTTAAACATCAAACAGAATTTAAACAATTGAACATTTCAATTTCTTTAAAATCTCTGTAATCAATATTATTTCCTTATAATAAGCCCTTAGACATTGTTTTCTAATATAAATCTTAGAGTTGTAAAAGAGTTTGCTCATTGGATTAAGTAATTAATTTCTAGTAAACAATATTTTTCTTACATAACCATACATGCATTTATAGAGTAAATCGTATTTCTTTATTTCATTTAATAATGTTATTTATCGTATATGTTTTCTTATGAAATACTTGTACTCGTATACTCGTATATTGACAATATTGTCTGCCTCTAGATTATCAGAGACCCAAAAGCTATTTAAGCTGCACACTAGATGTTGTAGTAATAATCGCATGACCGCCTCTTTTCTATACATTCGCGAGAGAAAATAGTACCATCATTTTTATATGTTGTAATTTTAGTGCTTAAATATTGCAGTATTTTGATGACTTTAAAATCATAGAATTTGATTAAAACTTATTTAGAAAGTCAAACTGTACAATGTACACGTTGTTAATTAAGTATTTATCAATACAAGTTTCATTAAATTTATTAAACTACTGATGCTACGAAAGATTTATAGGGACATTTCAACGTCATAAATTTCTGATTTCATTTTCGTGAATTCACAATTTTTATTCGTTATTTCAGCTTCATGAATTTACAATTTCAACTTCATTAATCAACTTCGCGAATTCACGTTTCAACTTCACGATTTTAAATTCACGAATTCAAGATTTGAACTTAAGGATTTCCCGATTTCATTTTCATGAATTCACGATTTCAATTTCATAAAGTCACGATTTCAACTTCACAAATTCCCGATTTCAACTACATGATAATCAGTACTTAAACATTGTATATATTGTTTTTGAAACTTAATCAATAGTTGTAATCCGTGACTCGGCAAATGATTTCCAAGCAATAACTTAATGGTGTGCTACCGTCCACAATAAATGGTGCGCTACCGTTCACAATAAATAAGTCAATATGTTGCGATTCTTTTAAAAGCTGTATTTGTAAACGTTTGTGTCCCGGGATAACCTGGGAAAATCCAAAATATTCTTAATTCCGGAGTAAGTCTATTAGGTTGAATTACACACTCGTAATGCAATTGTTAAAACATTCTTTTCAATTATTTATTACTTTTAACATGTTTGATATTTGTTATGAAGTGTAAACGAAATAAAACGTGTGGACGTCTATACTTACTACACTGTTTGAGTTTACAGACAGGACGCACAAGTTGCGATAGGGACAAAAAGCCGGCAGCATGGCGATTCACGGAAGTATTTTGTTTTCTATCATTATATTTATTCCCTAATAAGATATTTATTTTTTGCAGCTAACATCATCTGTGTCTCACAAGTACATATACTAAGAGCAACTACTTTGAAGATTGCATTAAACTCAAATATTCTCATGATCAAAAGTTATGATAACGATTATTAAAACCCTGCTTTGAAGACACGGCAATAAAATTCAAACATCAAAAGGAGTTGTCTTCCAGAACCCGGATAAAAATGGAACAACATGAGAATATTAGTTTAAAGACATTAGACGAACTTGACTACGAAGAAAAACGAAGAGATATTCCACTGTTCACTTATCTGACACTAGTGTTTGTAACCGGTATATTCGGAAATACTGTAGTTTTACATATTTTTAATAAATCTTACACGCGTTCTACATTTCGCTTGTTTGTAATATATCTCTCTTCAGTGGATCTTCTGTCGTGTACATTTGGTATTCCCATAGAAATAGTTGCCTTAATATTTGGATTAAAGAATGTCAACTCTATTTTGTGCAAGGCACTGGCATTTTTTACAGCATTGCCTACTATAACATCTGTACTTCTTCTTCTTGCAATTTCATTTGACAGATACAGGAAAATTTGTCGACCTTTTTTATGGCAAATTACATATAAAGGTGCCAGAAATATTTTCATTATTTCTGTGTCTGTCAGTTTTGCTTGTTCTGCATTAAGATCTGTTACATTTGGTTCGCGACCTACTACCTTTGAAATGTATAATGTTACTATCATTACATGTGAGGTAACAGAAGACATGGAAAAGTCTGTTATAGCTATTATAGCGCCCAATCTAATTGGTGGATTATTTTTGATTGTCATTAGTTTAATTATAACTTTGTATTGTTGTATAGCTGTCCGCATCGGAAAACAAATGCACACAAAGCGTAAAATGCTTGGTAAAGGCATAAACAAAACTAAAGGTAATAAAAATGGTAATATTAATCCCAGCATGTCGGACACAAAAAACAACCAGGGACAAATTAGCGAATTTAAAACTGACGCGAACGAAAACAGTACTGCAAAACAGTCGGATCAAAACGACATGCCTCACAATATTGAAATCTCACAAGACCCCAAACAACATCCTGGAAAACTGTCAAATTTAAAGCAAACAAACAGCAACAGGTCAGCCTTTGTAATGTTCATGGTAACCATTGCCTTCTTTTTATCATTTGCCCCTGCGTTCCCATTAATTTTCATCAAATCGTCAATAGAATCAAATCTAGAAAGGACACTCTACAAGTTCTTCATCAGATCATACCTTTTAAATTGTGTGGTAAACCCCATCATTTATGGTTTCTTTGATCCTCAGTTTAGAAGATTGTGTAAAATGTTTTTCTCTTGCAGACAAGTTTAAATTATCAAACATTTTAAACCGATAAAGTCTTTACAAGAGATGTGCACCACGTGTTTCTATGCCTTGTCATATGAAACTTATTTTGTCTGAATTATCGTAGTTTTCTTTTATGTTGTTATTTCATGTTGTCAGAGCTATACTTTATAATATATTTGCAAGGATCACTGAACACATGTTGTAAACTAGCTTTTATGCAACAAGATTTACGTGAACATTTCTTTCCTCAAATAAGAGAATAAGTGGACTAAGATTTTGTTGTTATTTTAACTCAAAAGTAAAAATTAATATGCAACGTCACGTCGAATTACAAAATTAAAGCTGAGTAATTTGGTTCCATACTGCGTCAAAGTACTCAAAGACAAATCATTTTCTTTTCGAGCCGTTCAAGGGCTAGTCAGAGTTGTTTAGATTAACATTGTGATACATCCTGAAGGTAATTTCAAAATCTTTTGTAATTTCAAAATCTTTTGTTCCGAAATCTATATTATCATATATTTATGTACATGTATATTGTATGAATTAAAACAGAAATAATTCTTCTGATTCATTTTAAGATGCATTCGTAATTTCAAATTTTTGTATAAAAAAAAGATGTAAATCAAATATAAATAAAAAAGGGTATAAAATCATTGCCCCATTATTATATTAACATTATAATCATTGTTATTTTATATATTTGATATTTATATCTGCTAGTTGGTGTTGTTATGTATTATATGAATAGCCGCGATAATTATTGCATAAATTAATATACATGTATTGTAAAATTATATCTTTTCATCTGACTGTGTATACACTCTCACTTAAGTTCATGTACAACATGTAGCTGCATGTTACTTAGAATCTGATTTTAATCAAATTGAAAGTTTATTTGTAATGTTTATTTAAAGGCACATTATGCTTCAGAAATAAATATTGTTTTACCTTCTTTAGAAATGGCAAATATGAATTCTATAACGTTTCAATAACGGTTTTAAAGTATGTTAGATGCTTATTACCTCTACAAATGAATTTATTTGTCAAAAGATAGTAGAATGTAACCATAGTTACGAAGTATTTTGACTTTCATACTAACTATCAAAATTCACACTATTTGCCAAAAAGCAAAAGATGGGATTTGGCTAATGAGTAAAATTTTAGAAATTATAACAGGGTATCATAAATTAAAAAAAAACTTTTCAGAAATGAGAATTGAAGATTTTCCGGGACACAATTGCCCTTAATTATGTACAAAATGTGTAGAGTTTTATGTATTTTAGTCGTTTTGAATAAGCTTGACAGCATGCAAATTTAACTGGACATTGTATATAACATCTATGACTATGATACAATATAAAATTGTATAGAAAATATATTGTACAGTTTTAATAGTAAATATATCATATATTGTATAAAATGTATTTAGTACACATCAAAAATAATTGTGTTCGTTTTTTGTTCTGTAAGATTTCTGTTTGGTACGATTAGGTTGAGAATGTCTACGGTTTATGATTTACATTTCTTTTAAAATTTTACATTATAATGTTATAATTGTTTTTGTGTTTTTTTTACATTGTTATTTCTTTTAGTATGTACACCCGATTTATTAACGCACAAAAAGTGTTTTTTATTGCCATTTTCACTTAAATAATTTATAACATATATAGAAAGGACAAACTTGTATTTCATTTCATTCCAATATATTTATTATTTGTATTACATATTTTCAACACAGGAGTTTCTTTTGTGTTGTAATTTTGTATTTTTATATTTCTTTTCATGCTTACAAACTATACACCGTCATTAAAGAGTTGGTAGAAAATTAAATATTAAAGAGTATTACTAGCCAAACTTTTATCCTTTTGATCATGTCTGTTACAAATGATTGAACATTGAAAATCTAGAAATTGGTTGATATATCGTGAAATATTGATAAGACTTTTTGTTTTAGAAATACGCATTTTCGATGAGACATGGAAAGATTATCAGGCTAGAAACTGACTGACGTATAGAATAATGGTTAGCGTCCTAAATGTTTAATGATTTAGCAAAGAAGAATGCAAAACGGTTGTGACATCATAGAAAACATCTTATGATCATGCAAAAAAATTGACCACATTCCGATTAGCTTTAATACTTTGTACTTTGCACTTTTTTACCGGTTCCAATTAATCAAATCGCAACAAACACAGCACGTGACTTCTGAAGGAGCCGATGCTGTTAAATTATAATAAATGAACGAGCGGAAAAGTCATGGAAATCGTGCCTCTGTATCTTCTATAGAAAACAAGTATATATTTATAGATCATAGTAAAATTTATTCCAATGGAATTTTTTTATTATTTTTTTATTATTGTCTAACACAATAAAAAGGCTATTAATAGATTTAAAAAAAAAGAATAAAAATATTTAAACGGTAAATTTTATTAATGTCTTACTCAATATAACGATACTATCCTTTTCCAAAAATTTTTTGTTAATGTCCCCATGAAAACAATCATACTTAGTTCTAAGTTAAACCCACATACTGTTTAAAACTTATATTGTTTATATGTCATGTTGTTATTTTTGTAAACTGATTGGAAAATAAAGTTTTTGTTGTCGTTGTTGTTGTTGATGTACTATGCGGTATATACTGTGAAGAACCAAACCATGCACAAATAAAAATGGTCTCTACATCGCAGTTGGTAAACTATGTGTTTGCATAAAAAATAAATTTATTATTGAATTCATTTTCTTTTTGGCATTTCTCTTGCTTTGAAGCATATCATTCTATATAATGTAAATATACTTATATTTAGATACTTAATGTATGAAACGGGTCTACAAAAGCTAAACAAGTTATGTAATACAAAACTATTGTAAGAATCCACCTAGTTTGTCACATGGTTATAATATGTTACCTCTTAACATTTATCTTTAAAAATGTTACATGAAGAGCTTTAATAATACAATAATATTTACACTGAAATGTTGGAGATATTAAAACATGTTGAAATTAAACTATTTAGTTGAATTCGTATATGCAACCTAGTTACTCATTAAATGAAACGTTTACGTTATTATTGTGCAACTGCTATCATATATATACATTTATGTCGAGTATGATATGAACATTGTATATTTTGTTAATACGAAATATATATGAATATATAACATGAATGAACTCTGTTTTGTTTTATTTATTTTATGTATTACCAATATCTTAAATCTTAAAGCGACGAAATGGAAATAATCCAAAGATATTGACATCATCGTCTCTCCTATCAACTGTGAAGGTTATTCTCAAGAGTAATATTTCTATGCATCAAACTACATGTAAAATTTTAATTTAGAATTACTTTGGGATGTAAACAAAAAATAGCCCATTAACATCAAATACATTTACAAGAAAACGTTTAAGCGAAATCAGTATTTTTAATAAAAATAGATAGCTAAGGTATAAGTTTGAAACAGAGAAAAGGGGAATTTGTAAAAAAATGTCTAAAACGGCAAAAATAAAACTATTTGAGTGAGCAGCTATTGGTATGTGCATGTTACTGTTTACGCCCCCCCCCCCCCAAGTACAAGCTGATGCAGAATTCAACATTTAACATAAAATGGAAAAATTTTGAATAAAGAAACATCTACATATGGCGATTATCGTACAACATTCCATGGAACACGATAGTGCCATTCCGTACTTAAAGCGGCGTATGGTTTCCAAGTAAAATATCTCATTAAATAGAATCATTGCGTTTACATATGACAAATAAAATGATATAAAATACGTGTAAGTTTTATACTGCAGTTAATAAAATTATATTATGCGAGCCTCTGGCGAGTTCAATAAATTTAGTTATGAACCTACACGCGTTTGATTTTCTATTTATCAAATAGCCGTGCAATACCTTTTTACGGAGACAAGTATGAGACAAAACTCATCAATTGAAATAATACTGTCATTGCGCGATATAAGTTTAAGAAAAGTGAGTGTTACCCTTTGAATTCTTACTTTATAAAGGGAGACCATCTATATAAAATTATTTTCTTCTTGTTTTGATGGCTTCCCTTGGTTTGCATTTAAAAATATATATAAATATAAATATAAATAAATTCAACATTATAACATTTCAATTACACACTTGTTTGAATTTATAGATGCATTTAAATAGGGCACGAGTAAACATAATCTTTTCATAGAAACAAATTCTCTGGTTAACAATTACATGTACGTTTACTTATGTATATAGGACAAATAGATCAAAAACCAACAAAATTTTAAATATTAATACATGTATCGCTTTATTAGCTTCATTAGTTGATAAATAACAAAGAAAAATATATACATAACTATATGGATACAGAGAATCATAATATCATCTCGCCTAATTCTTTATAATTGTTAACCGATAAAAGTCTAGAAATAACAAGTAAACAAATCAGTTAATTAGTCCATCGTGAAAGTTTATCAGAAAGGCCATTCATATGCATTTGTTTAAATATAGACAGCGAATGATACGTGAATTAAATGATAACAAGCAGGCAAAACGGAAACAAATAATTGTTACCGATACTTTTAATTCCCGACAATCATTTTTTAAAAAAAAACGTCAACTACTGGTATGTTCAGTACACAGTACTGATAAGCGTTAAATACGCTGATAATTTACAGCACAAAGTTCTTATTTTCGTTTTTTAGCAATTCTTATATTCTTAAAGTTTTTTTCATTGTCATATGAATAAGACGATTTCCTTGTATTTTGTGTTATTAGGCTCTCTTGAGCATACTACTGAATATGTCGGTGGTTCTATCCAGGTGCCTGTTCGTGCCTGAAATAATGCACGGAAAGGCACCTGTGGTTTTCCTTCACCAGTCAAGCTGCACCATCGCCATGACCTATAATGTGTCGGTGTGACGTACAACCCAATCAAACAAAACAAACTGCTAAATGGAGTAGAATATTTTATATAGATATTTTGGTATCCGAATATTAAAATGAGATTAATGGGGTAAGAAATGCTGTATGGGGTACTATATGCATTTGATATAGATATTTTGTAGTCTGAAACTGAAAACGAGGCAATATGTGCTATGATATGCATTTAATATGGATATTTTGGTCTATGAAAATGGAAACGAGGATGTATTGATACGATTGTTGTGTATTAAAGGTTAATACGTTTACAATACTTTACCTTCTCAACATGGTTGATATATAAATACATTTTATTTCATTTCTACCACACTGAATCAAATCTTGATACTATCATAATATAATGTAATTTCCATGTAAGTTAAAATAGTTTTTATAATAGATGGAAAGAAATTTCTGTAGAAAAACACTCTAATCAAACTTAAAATGCACAACAGCTTATACTTTAAACTGTTCAAATCTCCAAATATTTATGAATATAAATAGTGCGATGGTCTATTGTAACACCAGATGTAACCTTGTCACTCTTGTCTAATCAACATCATTAACATTTCGCATCAATATATTTATACATTGTTCTAACAATGAAACAAACAATCAATCGAACGAACAGATACACAACTTTCAATTGTTTTGGTCTAATGAAGGAATAAATATTATATCTATGAAGTATTAAAGCTGTATCAAATTGATATCCGCATGAAAGTGGTCCCGGAAGCGAAACAGGAAATATTCACATCAAATTGTTGATCAGACAAAAGACTGTAAAGACTGTAAAATCGATAAAATTTGTGATGCAAATTTTAGATAAACAACGTTTTCGGTTATTAATGAAACATTACTTATTATTAATTACTAATTATTATTTTTTTCACTGTAAACTTGACTGTACTGCTTGCTATACTTGTGGGAGGTATTTTGATATAGAAACCGTGATTTAAAGTGATAATATTTTCTTAAACAATCTGTTAGATTATTCATCAAATGACACATTTACTTTATTAACGTACATTGTATATACATTGTTTAATCTGACTGAAGTTAAACTCTTAAGTGTAGCGTTATTTAAAAAGCTGACTTAATTGGACAGTTTCATTTTCACACGACAAACCAAGAATTAGTTATAAATGATTCTGTTTTTTGAAGAGTTATACAGAATTTAATAAACAACAACATCTAGTTGATCGGACCTATTAAGATTTTCAATATTTGTACCTTATTGATTAGGGTCTTCTGTCTCTTCTGTCCCTAACTGACGTCAATTTGGAGCAGATGGAGTAAAGAACAAATGTAATTTTTAGAGAAAGTTTGAAATCACACACGAATTTCCTCTTGCCTGATCATCTGAACTAAACAAATACTTTTATAACTCATTGACTATTGTCATCTTCAATTTTTCTGTTTCTTGCGTTTCTACATGTATATTTTCTTACATTAAGGCGTTAATATTAGGTGTTTGTTCTTGAACAAAAACTAATCATATTTGAACTCAAGGATATGATAAACACATTAGATTAATGATTGGGATATCATTCTTTTCCTCAACATTTTATCGCTTATTAACATTGCATATATTGTTGAATATAAACATAAATTTTCTGAATGAAAATAGAAAGCTTAGCTAAGTTTGAAATAGAGAAAACAGTAAACTCTTATTAAGCCTCCTAAACAACAAATTTGAAACTATTGCGGGTTTAATTGGGCATTTTCTTGGACGGTACTGATAGGTACATGAAATGGAATAACTTAATTTGGAAATATACATAGATGTGTGATCATATGGCGGTTATCATGGAACATTCAATGTGGCACGAAAGTGCAATTCCGTACGTTGAGCTGCATATGGTTCACAAATAAAACGACTTGTGCAACTTCTGCCATGGCCAGTTCATTGTTAAAGTGTGTTAACGTTAATCTTTTAATGTTTTACTTTTGTTTCTTAATTTTGAAACCCACTACACTTTGAATGTACTGTTCCAAATTCAAAACTTGAAAAAAATCCATTTAACAAATTCAATAGGCCATAAAACCACAAAGAATGAAAATTTTTGAGAAAAGAACAAAGTTTGAAAGAATTTAAGTTTGAAAGAGGACGTAATATTGTTGCTAGTTATGGTACATGAGTGTGTTGTTTCATTGCATTGTTTTTTTTTCCTAAACTTTAAGTTAATTATGAGAGTAAGGCCAATCAACTGATACCAGCCTAGTTAAAGGATCGGGTAAATCTGTGCCGTTGATTTGAATTAGTTTCTATTTAAATTCAATGTTGTTTTCTATGTTTGGTGTACACAGTTCTACGCGTATTACTAGAGAGACTCTCTAAATATTGATGACCTACGGTAAAATTGACGCAGATCACAACTATATTAGAATATAACACTTACAAGAGTGTACACGCGTGACATCGTTAAGTATTCACTGATCAAGAAACTGATCACATTATTTCTTTATAAAAATGGTGAAATATTAGCTGAATTTAATTAAATATTGTTTGAGTAGGATTTATTTTAAATATGAATGGGTTTGTGTAAAAACTAACAAGCAAAACGTTGGACTTTTATCCAGAAATTGGATTTGCTGATAGTAAATCATTCTCATTAAAATTTATGACGAGTGATATACATACGATACAAAATGATGAGAAAAATAACTTCACAAGATAAGCTACGGTAGACCAATTTCTCATAGGAATAAGATATTACATTATGTTTTTCAAAGTAGAAAATATGATAATTTACCAATAACTTTAAAACTTTGAAACTTGAGCTGGAGTGTCTTGGCTGCTAAAGTTCTATAAGACAATAACATGAATGTTGATCCGTAAATGTTAATAAATGATAATGAATCGTAAACAATATTTAGTTTTCTGGATGTGTTTGTGTATATTTAACATTTGTTCAGCGGAATTGTCGAATGTGTCATGGCCTTCATCAGAGAAAAACATTAGTAGCATGATTTTGATAGGCGATGGACAGAAGTTGATAGTAAGTGGATTAAACCATTTGTATAGTTTAAATACAACAAACTTGCAGCTTATAAATGATGTTGTTATTGGACCAGTAAATGAAATTCATAACAATGTGAAACTTGTCATATACAACAAAACAGAACCTAACAATAACGCTTATATAACAACATGTGATACATTGAATTCATATTGTGAAATCAGACGATTAAGTGATATTTCGGATGTCGTTAATCGACTAGAGTCACCTATCAAGTCAGACGGAGTACAAGCTTTTATGACATCGTATAAAAAGCCAATGGAATGGGAAACTTTCCTATTTGTCGCCTGTCCGCATAATGAAATCCAGGAAAACAGATGTTCAAGGCCAGGAATTAATTTATTCTCAAATAGCGGGCGTAACGATCCAGTCACAAGGTTTAGGTTCAAATCGTTTGCTTATACACCAATTCTGACCGAAAAATACATTGATGCTTTCGTCGTAGACAAATATAGATTATTTTTCAGTTGGCAACAGAAAAAATCTTCACTGAACAGAACAAGCAAAATAGCTCAAGTGTGTCAGCTCTTCAAACAAAACACGTACACCACACCATTTACGTATGCTGATATGCCAATAGAATGTGGAGATTTAAAGGAATTACAAGCAGTAAAGAAGATTGTATTTGAAACGGAGGTCGTTTTTATTGCGGTGTTTTCTGATTCAGTGAAATCGTCGGTATGTGTTTACACGATGAATGAAATAAAACGAACGTAAGTATTTTCACTTAAATAACTTGCTGAATTTCTTAAATTTACTTGTCCAGTTTCTAAATAAAAACAACAGTTTCAATTATATCAATATTTCAAAGCCTTGTTTGATTTCATAAATTTCTAGGCCAAGTCTGCTTTGTACTTGGCAGAAACAAAAACATTTTGGTGTTATTAGGGTAAGGATAATAATATTATTGCACAGTTTCACTAATAAGTGAGTGTTGTGAGAGGGGGGAGAATCCATGCATTACTTACATATTGTTGATGAAAATAATATGAAGTTGCTTAAAAATCTTCGTAAATCTCCGGCGTGTGTATGATATTGCAGCTTAATCTTTTTTGATTTGGAATGCTTTTTTTCTGTTTTCTTAGATAAACTTACACGTATAAGTCACATTACACAATAGAGATACTTCTTACTTAACCTCGTTAAGTGTAACTTTACGATTATTTAACCAACATGACTTTACAATTTTTAATGTATACTTTATATTAAGTTTCACAGCTCATATTTGTATCCATTTTAGGTTTGTAGAAAACATCAAAGATTGTTATAACGGTACACGTGTTCCTGAAGAAGAAGATTATTTCCAGTCTCCAACTGGTGGCCGTCCATGTACATCACCGATTGTAAGTATTTGTTTTCTATGAATGTCCATTGAACATGACAATATTTTTATAGACTCGCTTTATTCAAGCATTTTTTTCTATTGTTTCTTTCAGTGTTTATTATAATTATTATTTATTATTATAATTATTATTGTAATTATTATTATAATTATTATTATTATTATATCTCTTCATCGTGAGCATTTCGATACCATGTTTTGCTGAGTGTTTCTACCAATCTTTTCTTCAGTGATGATTTTTATTGTGTTGCTCTTCAGCGTTATTTCAATTTTTAATATTTAATATCTTTAAATAATGAGTTTTTTCTATTTTTTTCAGCGTATTTCTTCAGTGTTAATTATTTTTTCTGTTTTCACTTCAGCGAGATTTCCTCTACTGCTTCTTATAGCCTTATCTTTATTATGGAAAGCCATGGCTATCTGATATTGTTCTTTTTCAATTTATGTAACCATTTGGATAATATATAAGTTCACTTAGAATATATATGAATTGAAAACACCTTCTTATTTAATCGGAATCCATTATATTAATCCACAGTTACAATATATGAAACCATACCGTCAGTGTATGAAACTGAAGTAGCAATATATAAGATGATTCTGTCAATATATGATTCCAGTTCTTCAATATATGGTGCCAATGCAGCAATGTATGGAATCAGATATCCTTATATGAAACCGAATTATCAATATATTAATTCATTTTTCAATATATGAACCCAATTTATCTATATATGAAACCAAAGTAGCAATATATAAGTAACTGTGGATTAATATAATGGATTCCGGTATTTCAATTCATATATATTCTAAGTTGTTGAACTGTCAATCCGTCTGTCGATAAGTGGTCAACATTAACCACAAGCCGCATTCTACCTGTACCAATGACTTCTTATTAGGCCATTAAGCCAATGAATGCAATACATTATGCATGATCTTGGCTTGTAACATATTTTCCGAGTTAATTTCCTTTTGCACCTCGAAAATAGTTAATCTAAACCACCATGTTTGGTATATCTTAAGTCATTCCTGTACTAATAAACACTTATCAAAACTACTTATCAAAACTAAGTTCATAATGTGTAATAGAAAGAGTATCAACACACGAGGCTATCCGATTTGTACGGATTTGTATCCGAGGGTGTTGAGCCCCCGAGTATAAATCAAATTACCGTGTGTTTTGCTATTCTTTCTCTTTGCTATTTTTTTATCTATGTATCATAGATAAAAAAACACATTCCCTGTTGTCTAAATATGAAACTCCACAAAAAAGTAACCAGTGAACGGGCGTGTGAATATTATATTTCTATCGCCTATCACTTTCTCTGTTGTCACAGTAATTAAGTAAACTCCATAAAAAATGAGCCAATCAGTGGGTATGGTCTGTTACTCTGTAGTGCGGGTAACTAATACCTGCGCTCCAGTTAACGCACTGTTCATGTATATGTATACGATTTAACTCTGACATATTTTAAACTGAAAGCAGCCCTAACTGTGATACAAAATCTAAATATTTACATTTTTATCACGTATAGGCGCCATTAATGGTAAACCTATTCTGGAAAGATGGATATATCTCAAATTTTTCCAAGAAATTTCATTAATATAATGGTATCTTCCATATGTAGTAAATAGGTAACTTAAATGATCCTCTAACTTTGGTTGAAGTTTGGGATCAATTGAGTCAATGTCATGTTAGTCAAATATAAAATATTTTTACACTTTCGTCATGACACTTTATTCATTATCTGTAAGATAGTGTCATAAGTGTTTAAGAAAGACATAGGCCGGTTCACTTTTTGTTGGATTTAGGGTCATTTTGTTTTAGGGTCAACCATTGCCAAAAATCGATTTAACACTTTTGCAGGTCACTCTTTTTGTTGACAGATGTCCTTTATATCTAGTAGGAACATAACTTTGGTAGTTGATTGAATGAGTAAACCTTTTTAGAAAATATGCCACCGACATAAATCTGGGCCGGGGGCATTTGTGTTTACTAAACAACTTACTTTCTTCTGTCAGTTTTCTTTAGTGTGAGGTTTCTCGCTATTATGATCTTCAGCGTAACGATTATCTTCAACTTCTTTGCAGTGTAAGGTTATCTTCTACGCAAGGATTTTTCTATTGTTTCTCTTCAGCGCGGAGGTTTTTTTATCTTTAGATCAAGCATGACTTGGCATTTTTACGCTTTTAAATTTTATAAAGTGAGGATTGTTCTATTATTTTTAACCAGCATTAGAGATTTGTCATTGCTTCTTTTATTCATGAAAGTTTTTTTATTTTTAAGCGTGGCGGTGTTGACTCCACTGAAACGGACGATTACTTCCTGTGCAACGAGTTCCGATTACCAACCTATAATTTAGTCATCGGCACCCATGTTTTGTCTCAACAGCCAGCTATTACGTATAACATGTCAATAACAGCTGTCACAGTGTCTGTTGTAGATTCGAAGATCATTGCATTCCTTGGAACAACATCTGGCGACATTTTAAAGGTAATTTTAGGCTGGGGGATCTTTTGTTATACCATTACTAACCGTACTTTTAAGATTATGCAGTCTACTCTGTTTGTCGAAACGATGGCAAATTGCCGAATATTTAGATCGTTCATGTCAGCATACGCATTTGCAAAAAGTTCCAAAATACTAACTGTTACAAAAAATACTACACAAACATGTTAAGGAGTAGCATTCCTTCTTAAATTGTACTGATTAGGGGAAATAATCGCTGTAGGGAGTTTGCTTATCTCAGGGACATTTTGGAGTGACAATACTTACATTCTCCGCTCCAGTCTTTTCAAGACAGGTACTTTTCACAAAATATTGAATTGAATTCATACATGTAATTCATACATGTAATGTATTGTCTTTATATCGAGTTTTTATATATATATATATTTTATTACACAATATATACAATAAGACGTTTGTGTTTTGTTAAGTAAAATGCAATGCCTGAAAAAATGGATGAAGATCAGATCTGTTATGAATATAGTAGAAAATATATAGAATTTCAGTAAAAATATTATTACCGTTACATAAGCTTGAATAGATAAATAATATAAGTGAAAATCTGATTAAAATCAAATATTATCATGGCAAGGTCGTGCAGTTTCAAAAAGTTACCAAAAGACAATACTTTTGGTATTTTTTTAGCTTTTTTTAAATGAAAAGTCTAGTCAAACGATATAACTTTTAACGAAATATTTATGAAAACATTCATGCTATATTCACAATATTTTCCATATTGATTTTCATCTTAAAACAATGCAAACTATGTAACTGTCTAATAGTATTATAATCAGACTGATAAAAGCCATAATTATCTACATACTTGAAGTGGTGAAAGAAATATTAAGTCACAGATAATTTATTTTTAGTGGTTACTATATCAGGTTAAATTTGTTAGCATTTTCAAAACCTGTATAAAAGTCAGTGAATTAATGTACTGGCAGTGTCAATATTTGGTACCATGTTTGATCTCAATAAACAACTGTTTACTTTCTCTTCAGATAAATACTACATCAGGAAAATAAATTATTGATATAAAACTATGTTTTTTTATGAATATGAACTGGATTTTGACAATTGTGACAAGCTTCATATTATAATGTGCATAAATTGATGTACTTGTCGTAAATGATGTTATCTGTTGTTGAATATTTTCTTGAAATATATTTTTGATGTTATATCGTCATTACTTCCTTTCATTTATATGCATGTTATTAGATTTCAGTATACATCTTTTTAAAAAATGCAAGTAAACTGTATGCGTTATTGTTTTTACATTTTACATAGGCTGTTGTCTTCCCCAGAAATTCCAGTAGTCATATACATCAACCTAGAACCAAAACCTTTAGGGATACGATAAAGAAGGACATGTTTACATCACACGATGAAAAACACATCTTTGTTCTGAGTGAGAGAAAGGTACATTCTAGTTTTCTCCTGCAGATTTCATTTTTCAATCAAACTTTGATAGTGTTATGGAAAACAAATAACTATAAAAATGCACAGGAAGTTGTTGCACATCCCGATTACAATTATAAGTAAATTGCTTTGCTATCCATTCAAAATGACTATAATATCCGTTACTTAACAAAAGGAAACAAATGAAGGAAACTTTATGTGAATCTAATTAGGATAATAACACTTGACACTGTATTTCCTTTGATATGGCGTAGAGCATCTCATGAAGCTTTAAGGCTTGTTTCAAAAAAATCTATCTGTTAAGTGTGTTTTTGTTTATATTCATGGTATAAGAATATACAATCCGCGTACAGTCGCTGATTCTTCTCTAATCAATGTCCTTCATGTATCCACTGACTCCTGTCCTCCACATACCAATTAAGTTATACTCTTACAATCGTCTTAAAATTATCTTAAAGTACAAATTTTGTTGAACGGAAACCTTAAGCTGTCATTTAACATATATATTTTTATAAACTAGTTTCTATGCGAGTCAGATGGTCACTCGGTTGTTGTGTTAGTATGAGGCCTGAATTGCACGGGAAACACACTTTGCATACTGACGTATCTGTATATATACATGTTTCATACATAAACGCCTTTAGACATTCAATTCATTTTGACTGATATGTAAGTGCTCATTAATGTTTTAAGTTTATATTGTAATAGTTCATAATGTATCTTGGTAATCATGATAAAATACAAAAGAAACATCATCACAACGGTAACCACAAACAACAATAACAAAAACAGCAACAACAAAAAAAATAAAAGCCAAAATATAACAGTAATTAATTATATTTGCACCATTGAAAGAAAAATGAAATTATTTAGGGTATGTTTTAATCTAATATCAAATATCTAAATATCTTGCTGGTGTGGGGTGTGTTGCTTCAACTCGCATTTTCATGTGACAGAGATGAGGTTCACCATTTCAAAAACACTGCAGACTTACTCTTAAACTGCGTCACTGTATAGGTCCTGTGACAAAGTATATCATCAATACTGTTGTCAAAGTGATATTATGGTGTTTTTCATATAAGGATGTATGACCATAAACACGTTGTTGAATAATCATAACTTGTCACCTGCAAGATCCTCAAAAGAATATCTATGATATATACACAAATAAAAGTGTTAAATAATGCTAAAAGATTCTTTAACCTATGCTAAAAATTTAAACATAGATATACAAAAAAGATAATAAAAGGTTACATGTCTGCATAATTATCAAATCTATTTTTGAATTCCAATAATGTATAAAACTATTTGATTTAAAAAAAAAATTGTTAATTCTTTATTGGCTTTACAGTCAGTTAAAAATATTCTATTGGAATTAAATTTAAGATAGATAAATACTAATATATTGTATATTGACCACAAAATAATTTTCCAAGATATGTAATCGTATTTATAAAGGGGGGGGGGGCATGTAAACACACTAAAACAGGTCGTTACATCAACATGGCATCAACATGGTATCAATAACAAAGACAGATGAATGGAATCCCTTAGAACGTCTCAATAACGAAAATAAGTGTTGCAGGTTCACTGAAGTTTATCCTGTCCATGGACAAAACTGAAAAGTGCATGCAAATACCCAATACTACTGTTTTAGCAAAATTCAACATCTAAAAGTGAAATTGTTAAATCAAACAAATCAAGCAAACCAAGCCTACACATTTTTTTAGCTTAAGTGTTTTAATTCTATTTTTATAGCGTTTCTTTCTGTTTTCTTTGAAGACTTAACATGGTCTTGATAGTGATCTAGTAGAATGCCGCCTTCCTTGTTGGTCCTGTTTTTCATATTTTATAATATAACCAATATTATCAACAATTCAGGTTTTCAAAATTCCTGTGGAGTCATGTTCTGAGTTTCGTACCTGCGATGGGTGTTTAGGTAGTAATGACCCATACTGTGGCTGGTGTTTCTTAGAAGAAAGGTAAATATTATGTGTGTGATTCATTCTAATATTCAAAATTACTATTTATTATTAAGCTTATATAATTCTGTAAAAATATTTGTTCCCCACATTTAAAGAAATGCAGGCACTTGTTTTATTCTCTGAATTTTCAAGTAACACTATGAAGGAAAAGAAAATAGCAATATTTAAAATAGTTTAAGATATAAAAACAATTTGAAACGATCCTTTTCTGTAATTGGAATAAAATAATGAAAAAAAATGTCATATGTTATATTCATTTGCATATATATCTAGATGCAGTACGAGTGATGCTTGCCCAGTAAACAGGGAGTGGATATCAGCTTCAAGTGGTGATATATGTCCACATGTAAAAGATATTTCTCCTGCAGTAATGTCCATTGAGGAAATAGTAACGGTATGGCTAATCTAATAACAATGTTTCATATCTTTTCAAAAATATTGCTTCTTTCGGTATTTGATATTTCAGTCCTTTGGAATCAATAGTTCTGCTACCTTTTTTGCTTTAGTCAGTGTTAGGGGGCATGAGAGATATTGCACAATTCATTTTCTTTAACAAAATTATTCATATGAAAATGAGTTTCCATTTTTGTTATTTTTAATTTTTGAATGTCGATGCCTGTGTTATTTTTAGGGATATTCAGATTGTATATAGTTGGTATTTGTTTCTTTTTAAAACAATATTGAGATGAGATGTGACGAATTTTTAATGCGCGCATGAAACATATTGTTAGAAGATTATATCTTAGTGTCCAGCTTCATTTGTCATCCAATGAAAACGCAGTATTGTTTTTACAAAATATGTGTGTTGAATTTTCAAAGAAGAACAAAAGCTGATACTATAAAAACTCCGTTCATAGTCGCCTTTTATTTCTCAAAGTGCTTCATAAAAATAGTCATTTGCAAAAATGAAGTAATAAAGTGGATATCAATGAAGCCAATTAAAGCTTGCCACTAATTAAGTAAGTAGCTATTATACAGAAATAAGAAACATTCTCCCGAAACTATCGCCCCATCTGTAGCGTCGCCCCCTCTGTAGAACAGCACAGATGAACACTTACATATACTTAATAAATAAAACTAGTAATTGGTGTTAAATGTAAAACTGCCTATTTATAATATGCTTGATAACTAGCATTCATATTGATACGTTAAGCAACCATAAAATGAAATTAATAGATGTACTATAACTTTCTTGTAGCTTGACATAAAAGTTTCAAACGTATTACAAGGCGTGAATGTGTCATGTAAATTTCACAGTGATGAAATCGGACCCACCTTCTATACCACTGAAATAGCACGGGTTTTCAACGATGGGTTATCAGTGCTATGTTCGCCAACGGACATATTAGATATTACACACAGAATAAAAGGTAATTAATTTCATCATGTACTAGTATATTAATCAAATTAACATTTTTTAACCTTAGCTGATAATCGAAAAATTTAATTAATTGACATTTATTTAACATCAATTATTATAAACAAATATTTATAAAATCTAACAATCGTCATCGTATTTTGAGCTACTTTATTGTACATTGAATGGGTTTTGAACATTCTTTTTTCAGGTTCTCTTGAAATGAAAGTTTCCATATTGACGAATGGTACAGCAACAACCATAGAAGGAACTTTTATTATATATAGCTGTGAAACATTTGAAAGGTATAACAAATCAATTTGAAGAACTTGTTATTTTTTACGGCTACTTTTGAACATTCATTTGTAAGTTTATAATATTTGATATATAAACGATTTGCTTCTTATGAATATATACTTTTCTCATTATGGTGAGAAAATTTGTCGAAAACTTGTATAATTGTTATGAAATTTAATAGAATTACGATTCTTTCTATTTTATTTTCCTATCTTAATTATGTTTCAATGTTCAACTTATCATTTTACTGTCACTGCTCTTGTTCTTTGATCTCACTTTTGCTGAATATTGATATACCGTTACCGCCGCTATTAAATGTTATATGGAATTGTAACTAAGCCCTGTATCTCTCCTCAGTGCATTTCTAAATTCAAAGGGCAAAATATCTAAATACTGTTCAAATTATTATTCGTATTTTTGCCTGGTCCTTTAGAATCAGGGATTTAAGTGTTAAAGGCCTACTATTCATGTATTGGTAGGTGTTTCATTTTAAATTATCTCTCTTTTCATCTTTCGTTTCAATTGCTCACGATGGATACCCTCTCATTCATATGTCCAATATCTGTAACATTATTGCAATATTATGTTATGTATACATCATATGCCATGTTTTTATATCAATTTAATAGCCTTCAAGTGCTATTTTGATTTTTTACGATTTAAAAAATGTTAACTAAAGTATTATTATGTTAGATCGAAAGTCGTTTAATTATATTTGTTTTAATTCCGTGTTTCAGGTGTATTGACTGTTCATCAAGGAATTGGAAATGTAGATGGTGCCCTTACTCAAACCAATGTAAAGAGCGTCATATCAACTGTGCTGATGTAAATACATATATCTTATTCAATTAAATTATAAATTATATATTTCATGCAGTCGGCACTGCCATTTTAATATTACAAATGTATCATAAACCAAACAGAGTACACTACTGAAAATTAAAATCGATTATCTTTTTGGCCAATCAAATCAATTTCTTACAAACTCTGTTGATGTAAGAAAAAACTCTGAAGATTATGCCTACTTCACTAAAGGTCTTGAAAGAAACAATCATATTTCTCAAGTGAGGAGGTTAATTTATTTGTTTTACATTTATGTCATTTCTTCCATCAATCATTTTTCAAACAGCATAAAGGAACAAGGAAGCTTTTTTATATTTTAAGTTATATAAGTTGCTTGCGGTGACATACGGTAGAAAATATCCTGGAAGAAAAAAAATCTTGAATAAGATAAGCAACTCTGCTCATTTATTTTTATATCAACAAAGTTGTGTTCTCCCGATGCGTTGCGGTTCCTTTTTAGGATGTTATCATTACTTTTTTACTTCTCAGCAATAACTTACGTATAACCAATTCTATATTTATATATCAGTGAGTGTTTAAATTTTAATTCCAGTCGGAAAAAATATAATTTTTTTCTTGTTGAAACTATACTTAAATTGGCACCAGTGCACATTTTAACTTTGCATGAAATCTAATATAATCATAATACCGCTTCCGGGTCAATGTACACCTAGCTGAATGTTTATATATGATGAAAACCTGGCAGTTTATACAGGTTAACGTTAGAGGATAATTTCCTAAATCAGGATTTATTACTACTAAATTAGACGGGTTTTTGAAAATGATTGACATATTGAATAGTAACAAAAATAATTATTAATACTAGTAGATTGAAGAAGGATAACAGTTGAAAAAGAGACGTCACTAAGAAATGAAATATAGATTAAATACACATCTACTACGAGTTTTCTTCTTATATTTTCATTGTTTTAAAAATACCATATTCATTGTGATGGAAGATGGTTCACTTAATTGTGTTCGACATTTTCGTACAACAGGCATGCGATAACTTAGTAATATTCATTTTCTTTACATCTGTTTAAACAGAAACAAAATATCATTGATCTCTTTCCGTGATGTTTCTAGAAAAACGTCCCGTATCAATAGCTAGATAGGCTTAATATTAAGATAATCTTAACACTAATAATGTATTTTTAAATTCAGATTACAAAACATCTTAATACTGTTAACAATCTATTTTTATTCAAAATCACTTATACTAATGTTCTATACTCCTGTATACGTAGAACTATTAATAACTTTTGTTAAATATATAGTAAGCCAAACATAATATTTATCTAATTTGCATAGGGTTGGATATGACAAACCTCCGCAAGGAAGCTCAGAAGAAAGTAAAAAAAATTACCTTATTACATTAACAGTGTTACTAATTATATATTTGTAGATTAGCATCATTAATGCAGAAGATTGTCCACGCGCCATTAACTACACAGTTGTCACAAAGAGTGTGGATATCGTCCATGATTCGAATGGTTCCGTGTATTTCTCTAGAGACAGAAACTATACGATAAACATAACAGGATCCAACTTGCTAGAAGTATTTTTATAAGTGACTTTATTTATACTAGATTTCTTTGTTTAGGCTGTTCTGCACATATTATTTTTAGGAAAAAATCAAACACCATTACAGTAACAGTGATATCATATATAGCGGTATATGATGAATTGCCGTATTACTAAAAACAACTTGGTTAAAACAAATACTGCATACCAGTTATTTGTTGTAAAAGACACATGTTTTCACATGTTATTCTATTCTTTTATTTTGTTTTCAAAATGAGTTGTATAAGCGAAAAATTGACTTTTTAAGCAATTTTAGACAATCTATAATTATCGTTATGAATATCATTTATTTTAGCCAAAAACAACACCGGGCGCTCTGGAATATGGTTGCAAGATAGTTGTATCAGGAACACAAGAACTTTGGTTTAACAGGACTTACTTTAATCATGGAAGTCTTAAGTGTTATTTAGAAAAGGTTCGACAAGGTCATTTTTTTCTTTATTCCGACCACGTATGAAATTCTAATTTCGTTTCAATGACCACCCCCGTTGAATTTGTTCAATAGTTTGTTTGGGTTTACGTCACACCGACACAGTATAGATCATTTAGCGACGTTCCAGCTTTACTGGTGGAGAAAACCTCAGGTGCCCTTCCGTGCATTTTTTCAGGCACGAACGGGCACCTGAGTAGAACCACCGGCGTTTCGTAAGCTAGATGGATAGCCTTCTCGCATGAAAGAATCCAAAGTCCATGTCGGGATTCGAAACCCAAAGCGGTGAAGGGTAAGTAGTTTGAAGTCAACAAACTTAACCACTCAACCACGGATGGCCCTTTGTTCAATAGTTTTTGAGACATGCAATGTATAATGCATCAAGCTACCGAATACAAATAAACGAATCTTCGATAAGATGAAAAAAATAATTATGATACTATTTTTTCCGTTTTTCTCTTTTAAGTTAGATGTTCAATTTTAGAGAGAAAAAAGCGCATTACCTAAAATCGAACTATTTGATTCAATTAAATGATAATTATTGATATATTATATATGACCCAGGAGAGCTTGTCTAAAATAACGTTACAAGAAGGTAAACTTAATGCTACGGTCCAACTTATGTGGGGAGGATCTCCAGTCTACGGGGATACAATGCCAGGTAATAGATGATGCTTTATTTGGAAAATTGTACCTTCCTTTTGTTGCCGTACAACGTTTGGAATAACTTCCCGATTTTCTACATTCTTCACCTTCAACATGGTTTGAATTTAGATGAAAGTTGTATTTAAGTGCATTGCTCTTTCATTATTAAAGCAGGTATACTTTAAGGACAGTTGTTTTCTACCTGTTTGGATTGCTTAGTGTACTATTGATTGGATAACGATTACAAATCAATCATAAATGATAATAACATAAGAAATAAAACATAAGATATCTTACTTACTCAATATTTTAAACCGTTGAATGTGAATGATGCGTTAAATGATATATTTTAGTCACCATTTACGCATGTGAACGACTTCCGACACCGGCCAACAATTGTGGGCATTGCAAGAGTTTTGCATTGTATCAACCTCATTTTAATTGCCAATGGTGTGGCGTATCAGCGTGTGTGGACAACAGTCAAATGTGTAACACCACAGCTTGTGACGCTCCTGTCATTACTGAGGTAAGCAGAATCTTCGAGAAATTTACTTTTAGATTAAAGAACTAAGTACTTCCAATATGGACCGACATTTTTCTAGAAAGAAAGGGAATAATGAAAATAATAACACGAAAACAGAGAAACAAAAACAAGTGAATAATTTGATTTCTTAATCGGATTTTAATTGACAGGCATGTCTGATTTAAAATGTTTCTAATGTAGATGCAAGATTGTGATAGTTCTTGAAGCTCAGCACACATGCAATTATAAGACACCTGTTGTACTTGATTTATTGTAAACATGTTTGGAAATTATTATAATAACTTTATTTTAATAGGTGCATCCACTCAGTGCTCATATAAATGCAACGACATTGATACAAATAACAGGTGTAAACCTTGGGTCTTCCTATAATGATACTGTCGATTCCGTGACAGTTGCTGGAATTGCCTGTGATTCTATTGAAACTGGCTACAATCCCGGCAGAAAGTGAGATGAAGTTTTAATATGTTGACCTGTAAAGATGTTCATTACTTGTCTATGCCGCGAATTAATATTTTGCTCTGTCTATGGTTAAATCTTTGCAGTCTTACCTATTTCCTAATACTTCTGTCCCTTACATCATCGTGCATATCCAGTAACGCAGGAATGTGCAAATAATGTAAAAGTAACGCCGAATCTGTGCAATGGTATTGCCAAAACGAATAACTCAGTAAGTAAACGAACCAAAATATTTTATTCTAAATCAAATTCAAAGAAATCAATTAGCGCAGACGGCTGTTACGACATTATACTATAACCAGCATTAATAATGTTTTCAGAAATATGTTTACTTCTTTAGATCATTCGTGAGAAACACAAACTGATTACCGTTTTGAGTTATCGTCAAATAAATATGTTCATTTAACACATTTAAAACATTATTTGAGCCGTGCCATGACAAAACCAACATAATGGGTTTGCGACCTGCGCAGTCTGATCAGGATCCATGCTGTTCGCTTACCAACCCTTTTACAAGTAGAGTAACTGATAGCGAACAGCATGGATCCTGATCAGACTGCGCGGATGCCTGGATCCATGATTGGATCCATGCACTATTTTGGTTTTGTCGTGATGCGGCTCATTTATTCTTAGTCAGTATACCCAAGACATTTACTAACCTGCAAGTGTCGTATAACAATAGTAGGAAGCTGGTAAAATTAGATTGAGCTACTTTTAATGAGATAACCGCCGTTGCTTACGAATTTGGCGTTACCTCGTAAATATGGTCTCAATTATGTTTTATCTGCTTAATTCAATTACACGAGAACATTGGAAAATGTCTCAGGTACAATCATAAACAAATATGTATGTTATTGTATTTAATGATATCAACGAAACTAAAATTCGCCATCAATACGCTAGTCAGGTCGTCATTTTCATGAATAATCTTGAAAAATATTTTCATGAAGTATAATGTCTCAGCAACCGTATTCTTTCAATTTGGTGTATAACAATATTGGTCCATTCACTCGGTGCTCGTTTTAGCCACTAAATTACACAATTTTATGTTACATTTGCAAAATGTCTGCTTTATTTGCACATTCCTGCGTTACTGGATATACAAGGTGTTACATTGAAGTTGAGAATTTATAGGACAGTAAATTACGATTAGGACAAATAAAGAATCTTACATTAAAAAAGTATTTATTCATTTATTACCAAGTTTTTTTATAATTATTTAATTTCTGAATTGATTTGATTTATCCTTATGTGTGAACCAGTGTATTTTATTTCTTTGAGGGGACTAGCATATGAATACTCTATAAATGTGACAAATTAGAGTATATAGAATGATAATATTATGGCCAAGTACGGCCCTGAATTGTAAATTATCTCGCAAACTTATCTATTAAAAATTATTGAAGATAGTTCTCACTGAATTGATTCAACATCTTTATTTCATGTCTGATATTGTTTATACAAGATTTAAACAGTGATTCTGATTATAGTTTCATTAAAAACAATAATTTCATGAATTGATTAGTTTTGATTTAATCGGTTGATATTCAATAAATTTAGGATCGAGTGTAAACTTCCGCCAAGTAACACAGTGATGAACGGAAGTGTGATTGTGACAAGAAAAGATAACGCTAGAGGGGTGTACTCTTTACCGTTCCAATTTCGGGTATTATAATAATTACGTTCTTTTTTATTGAATATCAAACTTACAAACAACTTAATAACATTACATATACGCTTATATATTGTTTTGTTTGTTTGTTTAATTCTACGCCTTTTCCCAACAGTATTTCAGTCATATAGGCGGGTAGTTTCCTAACCATCGTTCCTGGAGAGATACACCAGTACTAGACTACCTTCCTCCGTGCTAAACTACCAAAGCATCTCCCGGGGTACACTTATATAACACATTATCATAATACACAGGATCGTTATTGCAGCCGCCGTTATCATCAGCAGCAAAATACGATTATTATGATGAGGATGATAATGATGATGATTATGATGACCATCTTCATTATTATTATCATTATATTTGCAGTTTTGATAAAAAATAATATGTCTTGTTCCAGACGACCTTTGACTGTTGAAACTTAATTTTTAAGATATACAATGCTCAAATTTGATATTAGAAAATACTGATTATTGGTTTACAGTGTCTTTGTAAATAAAAACTGAACATGTTTTGACTTAACATAAAGTAAGTACGTGTATGTTATGTTCAAAATTCTGCACATTGTCATTATAAATGGTAAAAAAAATGAATTCATAGTGTCTTAAAAAAAGACACTTTTTTTGGCACTGTTTTGAAGAAAATACCAACTTTACTTAACCTGTAATAGGGATCGCATCTTGCCATACATAATTTAATCATACTTTTATTCAAATCAGACATATTCAGTAAGAATTTCAATAAATATCTGTGATAAAAATATTTTACTCTAGTAGGAGCAGAGTAAATCTTTAAGTAATGTCGACACTGTCATTATAATATTGTAAATTTTCAGTTTTAATGGCATAAAACAAAGTTTACGTAAACATAATTTTAAACTTCTTTATGTTGTGTATATAATTTTATATCTAAAATGTTGTCTAGTTACAATGTTTAAGTACAGTTTCCTGGCCATCATGATTATCTGATCGAATGAGTCACGTTTTATTTGTTTCCACCTATACTTATAAACACACTTATATCAAACAGATGTACGGTCAATGAGATCATGAAGTTGACCTTTGGTGCACGTGGTCTATTTAGAATAAGCAGTATATAATGAAATTATTAACTAGTACTTCGTCTTGTTCAAGTAATTAAAAATGTAACAACACTTAAGTTAAATGTTATAAATGAATATAATTATATAATTTCCAAACATCCAAGAATATGTTAAATATGTACAGCAAATGTTTATACGCATTATAAGTAATCTTTAAAATATCCACATTCAACAAATAGCTAAGACTATATCGAAAATAAATTTCTACTTTCCCCTCTTTATTTACATGAAATGTTAATTCGGTAATATCTTTACAAATAATGCTTTTTGGAACTTACAATATTAATACATCTTCATTTGAGCATCATATTTATGATATAAAACCATACAAAATTGAGTTACAGAATCTTTAAAATTCCTAATTGCTGCTCTACGATGTAAAAAGTTAAATTGATTATAATTAGTTATTGAGTTATTGAGACAATGTTGTTTAAATGGTTAAGGTGCCTGTATTATAACTAATGGAATAAGGATTTAAGCTTTACTCTGGTCAAGGCCATGTTTCTTTCAATGACATAAGTACCGATTTGTATAGTATGGCAGCAGCTCTAGTACATTTAAAATATAAACTGCATATATTCTAATCATCAAAAACATATACTTATACACTTGGGTAATTGTTCTAATGAATTTTATGATACATAATGATATGTTTATATTACTTTTGGTTTGACACAAAGTCATCAATAGGTTGAATGCAATAATCTTAAAATGACTGTTTAAGGCTCATTGATATTATTACAGGTTCCTAAGGTTACCGCTATAAAGCCCTCCATTGGACCAATGTCAGGTGGCACGCTTGTTACGCTATATGGACACCTGCTGGACACTGGAAAAAAATTGAATGTTTCTATTGGTGGGAAAACATGCAGAGTCAACGATTTTAGAGATGGCACTATTAACATGTATTTATATTTAAGAAATAATATCGGTCTAAGCGGTGTGCTTCGGCTATTAAACACTGGTTTACAGTTTTGATGCGTTAAAATTGACCACGAAGGCTGTGGGCCGGAGTAGTTAACTTTTTCGAATCAAAACAACAGACATGTTTTCAATAGCAGATAAACAACGATATTATTTCAGTTCTAACATGACTTAATAAAGGAGATCAATAACGCTATTTTCCAACAGAGATAATTTCCAGTTACGATTTTGTGTTTGGCTTTTTTTATTCTGCATCCTACACTTAGGTTTTAAAAACACGAAATAATAAGAACAAATGTTTCATTTTAAGTTTCGAAGATATCTTAATTGTTCAAGTTTTGTTATTATCAATATTTCAACAATATTATTAACCTATCAGACTGGATTGTACTGTGTGACTAAATCGGCGCATTCGTTTCCATCCATGCCATCCTTTATGGATAAGTTGCATACTTCAGATGACGTTATTACGCTGTTTACGAATTGCCGAAAATGCTTCTAATAATAGTTTATAATATTGATAAAATTCAAAACCTATCGCGTTAATGTATGTGAGATGTTCTTTTAGCGTTATATAAAAAAGAAAACATGATAAGAACGGAAAATACCAATACAAATGCTTTATTAGTGTTGTCTTTGTTATTTGGGCGGGGAACACTTATAAGAAGAACAGCTGCATGTACATGTAGCTGGAGCCAGATAATATTAACAGTTCAACACTGGTTATTTTCTCATTTGTTTATAGTGACAAAATCATGTTAAAAGATTTAGAAGATCTCCTTTATTGTGTCTTGTTAGAGTTAGCATTACAAGATTTTCAGCATCATTTGAAGCCTTTTTGATATACCTATTTAAAGATGTACTATGCTCAAATTTGATATAAGAAAACATTGATTATTGCAACACAATCTCTGTGTAAATATAAAATGAATAAGTTTTGACTTCCCATGAAACAGGTATGTAATGTTTAAAATTCTAAACACTATAGGTGAGCACAATATGACTTTATATATATTGTGTTATTAAAAAAGTGGCATTTATTTAAGACAAGACCAACTTTGCTTGAACAATAATAGGTTACGCAACTTCCCATAGGTAGATTATTCATTCTTTTATTCATATAAGACATTTTCGGTAAGATTTTTATAAATTCCAATACATTTATTTCACTCAATGTTGAGCATAGCATTTTTTAAAATATTGAATATTGTGACAAAACATAAACAGATTTCAATTACTCATTCAGAACAAATTGGTTTCGATATGTTGGGTTCTTGAATGTTTGTGTACTTTCTATGTTTTTTTCCTTATTCATAGCAGATGATTGTTAATTGTCATCCTTAGTATTTGAATTAGTGTATTAGCCATATAATTTGAACTCCTTATCTTTACGATGAATAATATAATTGATATATAGTCTATCGACACATTAAACATATAAGTAGGTTCAAAATGGTATAGTTATCATTTTTCAATTAGAAACTTTTAAATGCTATCATAAATTCTTTCTTATTGAGGGTTCATGCTAATTTGTTATACGCATGTCTTATATGAATATTTTCAATTGCTATGGGAAGAAACGTCTTTTGTAATGTTATGACTATTTACAAAACAGAAATTCATCAACAAAGCGTGTATGCACGACAACTGCTGGAAACGTTAATGACCAAGATAAGGCTCTCGACGTAAATATACAATTTGACGGTGCGAATGCCATAATAAGCGAAGATGTTGCATATACATATGTTAAAGATCCCAACATAACATCTATTTCGCCGAAAGAAAGTTTTAAAAGGTAATTATTTCGAATGATTCCAAGGTATGAATTGAGTTTCTTAACAAATAAGCGCCAATATCAATATAAGGAAAGCATGGCATAAGTAAACAGTTTATTTGTACACTCTGAACATTAAAAGTAAACTTTCCTTGTAAATCTATTTCAGAAGTAATTTGTATAGAATTGCATTGAATTAACAATATACAAATGTAAATACCTCAATTAAGAGAAAGATATGTCTTTTACACAAACAAATTGTGTTGTTACAAGTAAAAAAACAACACTTTATTAGACAACAAACTTATAGTTTGAGAACATCACTAAATCAGATTAAACAAAAAAATAATAAAGAAAATATCTTACAAAAAATCACTTAAATGCGCACCTCAGCCCATTAGCGTGTATAGATTTTCTAATCATTATTTACTATTTATAACAAAGGGTTTCACATTTTAATAAAAAGTGTAAATGCATATTCTTCTGATCTTTTCCACGATTTCGCTATCATTTGAAATGCACTGAGATTTAAATCTGAGTTGTTTGTCAAATGATTTTTCATTATTTCTATGTAGTGTATCAAAACTTTATTTGAGCCGCGTCATGACAAAACCAGCATAGTGCGTTTGCGACCAGCATGGATCCAGACCAGCCTGCGCATACGCGCAGTCTGATCAGGATCCATGCTGTTCGCTTACCAACCCTTTTACAAGTAGAGAAACTGATAGCGAACAGCATGGATCCTGATCAGACTGCGCGGATGCGCAGGCTAGTCTGAATCCATGCTGGTCGCAAACGCACTATGTTGGTTTTGTCATGACGCGGCTTATTTATTTATTTATGCCATTTCTTTCTGATTAAGTGGCGGGCGAACACTTACGATTGAAGGAGATAACTTACACGCATTACAACGACCGAAGATCTATGCAGTAATTGGTAACAGGAGACTGAAGTCCGAGGTAATCTATCAAATTAACCCTTATTATGCTTACTTTAGTTTATCAAATGAACAGTATTACACGGCCGTGCATATATTTTGACGTGGTCATTTGCGTTATACAAACATAGAGCATAGACGCACTGAATGTTAGCGTTACACTGTAAGCGCGTCAATGAAAAACCGATTATTTTATCGTTAACACTTCTTAGAATGGATATGTGATAAAAAGCATTATAATGTTATTCAACTCGTCCAATAAATTCATTGTTGAATTTACACTCGATCAATATTCTTTATATAATGACATTATTTTGCTCGAATTTTAAACAGTCCGTTTGATTTTTGAGGATTATTTTCACAAAATACAAAAAAAAACTAGTTAAACTGATCGAATGTAATTATTCGGTTGTTAAAGGCACTGTTTAAGGTCATGCAAAATGTCATGCCACTTAGACCTTACGTAGCGTTATCACAGGTATATTCAAAACATTTGATTCCACCTTAATGGAAAATATCGAAGGATGACAGCCTATGTCGTGTCAATTACTTATAAATTATTTGCAAAATTTATAATGTATCACATCTAATTTTATGTAAAACAGGATTGCACCAGAGAAGATGATGGTGGCGTTATTTATTGTCCTAGTCCTAGATATACTGACAATAGAAATAAAAGGCGTAAAAGATCGGATAGCAGTTCACAAGAAGCAAGGTATATTTCTTGTGTTTTTTATTATTTTATATTCATCATAGAGTAAGCAGTTATGTGAACGTGAACTGGAATTTTCATATTGATTTAATTCATACAAAATATGTATTCCTATTTATTTGATAGCGACCAACAAGAGTGCAGTTTCATACAAAATATATCAAACTTACATTCCAATGGACAGCATAGTGCCGTCTAATGTGAACTTAGTTACATGATATATAATTAAGGTTATAGCTTATCGCTTTGAAATGAAAATTGATTACCATTCAAAATTGAGTGAAAGGGAAAATTTATTATTATAAAAATATGAAGTTATCAGAAGCACTATTAAATTGAACTTATTTAAGATTTTATCACTGTTTACATTTGGCTGTGTCTTAAAAACAACGCGACAACTAAGATTTAAAGTATGTCTGTTGTATGGAAAAAGGGTCATTCATGACATCCGTACTAGATCTTATAGCTAACACAAACATAACGAGTATATATATATATATAGAAATGAAATATCTAACTTTGAAAGAGACAAGAATTGAATCATTTATATTATTATATGGTTACAAAACTGTTCTCGTAACATGTCTTATTCTCTCATGTTGTCAAAATTTTCATTTGCTAAATATTTATATTCTGCAATGAATTTTAGTAAGTTGTATAATTGATAAATTTTTGAATCCATTACATTTAAGTTCAATTTTGTTTATAATTTGTCTTTTAATTGAACTGTTATACTTGGTGTTTTAGACCATAAAAACATGTATTTTACATTGTTCATTTGTTTATTCGGTTTACGGCGCACCAACACAAGTTTGGCCATATCGCATTGGACAGTAAAAATGGTTCTGTTTTACCTCGAATTCTACGAACTTTAATCAACACAAGGGGTTAAAACACCTCACCTGCTGGGATTAAGAGATGCATAGACTCAAGATATTCAAACTCATTTAATCGCCTCCTATGACCATGCAGATATAAATGGTGGCTGCAATTCTGATGCATCAGCCCCTCAGCCATAGGGTTTACATTGTTGAACATATGTGTTAATGATAATGTAAATTTAGTCGACCAGTGAGACTTCTAATTAAAAAAAACAACAACAAAAATAATTATGATACGTTAATTTCTATTTTATGTCATAAGAAACCGAATGGATTTTTGCTGTTTTTGCATTGCACGAGAGTTATTTAGAAAATAACATAGACTTTAAGTTTTGTATTGTTTTGCACTTTATTACACTGTATTCTATTCTATTCGAGTTTAGTGTGCCGTATCAAATTATATCGCATAGCATGTTATTGTTAATCATTTTTTCATATTTTATATTAATTCTTGTATTGAAGAATTGGATTTGAAATGGATGACGTTGCATCGGTAAAAGCAGAAAATCTACCAAGAAACATAGCTGTGCTTTTGTACTTCGAAGATCCTTCTATCAAAAACTTCACAGAAGATAAACAATACACTGAATATCTTTCTATAAAGGTATAAACATTGAGTTTATGTACACTACACGGTTTTCTTCGACTACTTTCATGCTCTTGACTTCTATTATACCGACTATTAGTACAGCTACGACGCCCACGACGACTACCAGTATTACACATAACGACTACTTCTTTGATGACAACTGACACGACGACTATGACAACGTAGTTTAATTACACCGAGGAATAAGGCCACGACTACAACAACAATTGGACCATAACAACACTTTTCACGATATCGAGTACGACAACTTCTATGGCCACGACTACTTAACATAATATTGGGTATATAGATACGACTACGACTACTACAAATAAACGACGACGCCTACAACTAGTAAAATGTCGACTACTTCGGCGATTATGACTAAGGCTACTTCGGTAACTACAGTGACATCTATAGAGATAACGACTGCTACGACAACAACATCGATCACAACACAAGTCATTTTCTGAACATTAATAATCTCCTTTCTTAATATGAAGATTGCTGGCAAAAGAGTTCTTTTGATATAATTGATCGAAAAAAGTTTTTCTTAAAGATAGTCAAGATAGGTGTGATTGTCTGGCCTTAAATATTATATCATTTCTAGTTGAATTTAAGACTGCACAATTCTTTCTTATCAATCGGACAAGATTTTTTACAGCAAAAGTTAACTAAACAAAATGAAATTGACAATATACTTACTTGAGAATCATTAAGGGCTAAATAGTCATTTTCTGATTTTTTTATTGGTTTATACAGAATATATTTTAGTTCGATTGTGTAGGAAGCTATAAGCTTATAGACACACTTTCGAATCCGTTCCTAGAACCAACCAGTACTGAGCAATGAGTGTAAAATTTCTTGCTCAAGGAAACAACGAATTGCCCCTGACTGGGTTTGAACCCATGCGGCCAGCGATTATTAGGTTACTAGTCCGCAGCGTTAACAACTTGGCCATGCCGCCACGGCATTTTTATTAACATCCCTTCTATATTTGAAAACTACATGTCTCACAGTTCATGATTATAACTGTCAATGTCAACAGTCAATGACTTATATATTTATACAAAATGTTTTTATTCGAATATTATGCACATGTCACGTCATCGCATGCAGTATAAGTTCAACAACTATCGTAAAAAGCTCACCCGTAACTTTTATACACAGAAAACTGTATACGTTGCAACATAGCAGTCATCAAGACCCTCTGCCACAAGTGTATACGTAGTTGTAGGCAAGTCCGACCAGGTTCTAAAATGTTGGCTTCTCAATATTGGTATATTGATATTGAAAATAACGAAAGAAATGCGAATTGAATGCTAAAATTTTTTTTATTAATATAGGGAGAACGTTTTGACGTTGCAGCAGTACAAAGTGACGTTGTCATAGAAATCGGCTGTGAGAGGTGTAACGTGACAAGTATGGCTCACGAGTATATAATTTGTAAGCCTCCAACGGAAGAACCGAAATGCAGTCATCGGGTTAAAAGCCATAAATTTATCGTCAACGTAAGTAGGCATCTTTCTGTGCAGTGCTATTATTTAAGTGTACTTGTGTAACTTGAACCTCACAGACAGGCTGTTGGTCACATTTAGATTCTTTAGAAAACAAATAGAAATAAGTCACACAGCTTCTCAACATGCTTTCTAATTCAAACATGTAGTTTATATACCGCATACATGAAACGCTAAAGCAAACAATACTTTGCTTTTAAGGTGAATATTGGATTTCTGTCAAGAAATGTTGGTAACATCACATACAATGATCCATCTGTTAAGCCGCTGGATGATCCCGGGCGGAAAACCGAATACATCATAGCAGGAAGCATAGTAGGGATTCTAATCTTTGGTCTGCTGATATCTTTTGGCATTGTCTTTGCAATGATGAGAAAACGTAAGCTCATGAAGAAAGAGAAAGCCGGTCTACTGTATAAAATGGATAAAATAGAAGCAAAGTTTAGAAATCAATGCAGAGAAGGTGGGTCTCTCTTTTTGAATACTAATGATAGTAACTTACTTAACTCTTAACCTGCAATAGGGTTTAGGTTTGAATGGTCAAGTTTAAGGAACTTTTATCAAAATACAATAAATTAGATAACACCGGTGCAAAGCCTGGTGAGATTTCAAAAAATGAGCAGGGTGACCTTGCTTTAGGGTCATCACTTTTGGTTCCAGGCCTCAATACTGGTCATTGCTTAATTGTAGTATTATGATATTGCGATTTGACAAATTCGTCATAGAAAATTCAAAACATAGCAGTTTAAAAAAATCGGATATAGATAGATTCAGATATAGATATAATTATTTCTAAGGTAAATTGAGCTATTGACTTTTATAGTTTCAATATTTGTTCAGGTGATGTGAAGAATATTTTCTAAACACAGAATCAACTTTTTGTCATATTTAATCATTTTCAAGCAAATGTGTATGTTTGTTTCCAGAATTCGCTGCACTTCAAACTGCCGTCTCTGATTTAACAAGCGATTTGAAAGGAGGGAATGTCTTGTTTCGAGAATATGAAGTGTATGCGAGTAAAACACTTCTTTCATCACAAAAGTCAGACATATTGATGAACCGAGAATCAGTGCCTGTAAGTTTTTTTTAATATAACATGAATACAGATTGATTTGTTTTTAATTTGGAGACAGGATATTGTTTATACAATTGATATCAAACACATACTTTGACTTCTTTGTTTACAGTTTTATTTGTGAATTAGACCCTACATCATTCATCTATGTAATTCATGCAACAGCAGACAATTAGCACTTTCATAATATTTTTTCAAGCTAACTTCGTCACAGTAAAATTATCAACGTTTTTGAAAAGATGTGAATCACAATTATGATAAGAAATTAACGTTCACCACAAAGCTTACAAGATTGACATTTGAACTTCGGATAAAAAGATATTTTCATATCTGACTTTTAAAATTGTGCAAATTTGCCTAAATAATTATCTTAATATTTTTCATTTTATATTGAGCAGAATCAGCAAGCTATGGATACGTTTAAAGGATTACTACGTAATAGGCAGTTTCTTCTGATGTTGATTAAAACATTCGAGAAAGAGCAATCTTTTACAATAAATGACAAGTAAGATATAATTATCATTTTAATAACACACTTTATTGCTGTAAAAGGATTTAGTTAAGTGGCTTAGTAACTGTGCCATTCAATTTAGAGATTGTTAGTTAAAGCATTTACTCCTAACCTACTGGATTTGCCCTGATTCGACGTTGGAATAATCCAATCAAAGCTTAAAGGATTTCAATATCAAACTGCCAAATAATAGCTACCAACTATGGTGGCTGATTTTCACTATGTTGTATGTCCGCTTCTTCGCCTCAAAATACGAAAATGCAAACACACGAAGGGATGACAACGGAGGGATGACAACGTTTGACTTTGTCATCTCTTTGTGTTTTCGCTTTTTCGGATTTTCAAAGCAGAAAAGCGATAATACGACAGAAGGAGTGCGAAGATACGACACATAAAATCTGTCGTAAAAAGCGAAAACACTAAGAGACGACAAAGTCCTTTGTCGTCTCTTCGTGTTTCTCGCATTTTGAGGCGAAAAAGCGAAAATACAACTTGAAAATACGACTTGGCGCAAATCAGCCACTTGAGCCAACACAATAGAGCATGGCTAGATTGCTAGGACATGCATATTGGCCTGGCACTATACTATTGGCACGGGTTTATCATGTTTTTGCTGACAGGTTAAATGTTAAACTTTTTACGACCAATTTTTCAATGTAACACCAGTAATGGGTAATGCAATGAAGTGGGCCAGAACTTTGTTATATCAAATTTGTATACATTTAATTACATATTACAAAGTTTAGCTAGTTCTTGATTAGTCATATCTATTATCATATATAAACAAAGATATATTTCACTGATGTATAAATCAATATATACTTCGAATATTACAGGTCAAATGTTGCAACAATACTGATGATCCTTAATCACGACAACATGGAATATGTGACTGGGTAAGTCACGATAGTTTGCAGAAATATTTTTTGTAAAGTTTTATCTAAAAACACATGTGTCATAAAACTGCTATGCTTTGAATATGTGACAGCGCAGGTTCAACGTTGATTATGGTCAATTGCACTTTTAGTTTAATGACTCTCTAAACTATTATACTACTAATTTTGTGTAATTATTCTTTTATTTAATTAGTCTGTGATTTTTGTCAGGATTAATTACGTTTTATATTTTTCCCATATATTCAATAATACTGTATAACAATCTAAATTTAGGGTAGATAATTATCGAGTTCCAATAATGCTTTAAATATTAATGTGATTTTGGTGCTTGGTGAATTACAAATTTACTGTTAAGTAAAATGTGAGTAGCTGTTTCAAATCTACTTAAATTATAGTTTGTTTCATTAATTAGAGTATGCTATTAAAATTACATGTAACAATTTGTTTTTGCATTAAAGAGATGATTGTTTTAAATGTCCTATAGTCCTATAAATATTATAGAAATGTAATCAATGATTACACAAATACTAGAGCGGTAATTTATAAAATTACAATTACATGTAATCGAAAGTGACTTTGATTACTGACAACGGTCGATTACTTTAAAAATGTTTTTGATTACAATCAATTACGATTACTGCTTACTAATTCACCATCCCTGAATATCATGCTAGAAGCAATATTTTGTTAAAAACTTGTGATTTTATTCAACAGCATACTAACAACACTGCTTGATGGTCTGATTGACAAGAACATTGCCTCAGGTACCCCGAAACTTCTCCTCAGAAGGTAAATATATTTATCATTCTTATGTGTAGATAATCATTTTCATAGTATTAAAAATGTTATGTATACTTATGGAAAACAGTAAAAATCTTTTTCAGCCAATTTTGATATAACCACAAAAATGCAATGTCTTATACTTAAAGCGCAATCATCTATGTGTGTGTTACTGAAACTTAATAATGCATTATATATTATAATAACATTATTAGGACATATACGCTTTAAAACGTTTATTCTACCATTATCATTTGAGACAAGTATTAGGACTTCTCACATAGACTAGTAATAATAATATCAATCATTTCAATAACAAACAGTTGGCAAAAAAAAATTGTCATCAAACATTTTTTAGTTTTACAAGGTTACTTATACAAAAAACATACCAACTACCTCTACCATTGCTTTACATAGAGCAAAACAAAATGTTAATATCCTAGAATCACCGGATAACAATAATAATGATTCACTCTACCTTCACTCAAGGCCTCAATATATATTAGGTTTTAATATCAATCAAGCATTCTATACACCATCAACATGGACATTGCTACATTATCTTTTTTGTGTATACAGGGATGTTATTCGTATGATCGTATCTGTGGTATTTTTCATATCTGCGAGGTGGAATTATTTGAAAAAACATTGAGGACAAAAATCCTGAAAATTTAAGCACATATGTTGCATAACACTGTTTTTAGAAACGTAGATACATGCACTTACAATAATGACTCCTTTAAGTACCAACAAACTCAAATATAGTGTTAATTTCAAAACAGAGAAAACAAATCTCATAAGATTTGTTTAAACTTTGGAACTTAAGAAGCATACAAAGCACTTCATTAAAATAACGGTTGATTATAAATCGCAACGTTGCATCAGTGTTAGACGAAGAGTAGCAGAGAGAGACATGCGGTTATATCAGACTGTTCGTTTTAGTGATGCCTATATACAATCATTTAAATATAAACATATATTATCTTTAAGTTCACTTATTCAAAACATCTGATAACCCACCTTTCAGATCAGAATGTGTAGCCGAGAAACTCCTCACCCATTGGCTGTCAATCTGCTTGTACCATTACCTCAAAGAGCGTTCGGGATCACCCTTGTATATACTATACAAAGCAATCAAAATTCAGACTGAGAAAGGACCGATGGACTACATTACAAACTGTGGGAAATATACGCTTTCGGAGGATAAACTGATCACATCGGCCGATAACGAAATCAATCCAGTCACTCTGGTAAAGTTAAAGATGTTTTATAAATTGTATGTACTGCATGAAAATGGTTTATGCTAAACTGATGGTTTTTACATTTTGTCATTCACGGTATTACTTGATTCTCTTACATAAAGCACACAATTACACAAAACACCACATTGGTATTTGGAAAGTAATACATTTATTCTAATAGATGTGATGATACATTTATACAATACCGTGGCATATGGTGTTTATTCAAGTCAGTTGAAATACATTTTAACATCTAATTATTGGAACCGAAAGTAATTTGCCTTTGCCACGAATATATATGCGAAGTCAGTTTGCCCAGTTTGCCCATTTATCAAATCCATTTTATATTAAATCCCTAATACTTGACCGGACCAAATTCAAAGCTAGGCAAACACAAAAAAAGTTCAACAAGATAAAAGCAAGGCTTAGATTTGTTTAAAACTGTAACAGAATGCTATGTATAATGAAAAACATTATCTTATGTAATAATTCCAGTAGATTTTTATGATTCAGACTTTAAAAGTTGCAACTTTTATTTTCATCCAGACGCTTGACGTTACCCATTTTGATTATATTGACAACACGGAAAAGCAGATTTCAGTCCAAGTTCTAGACTGTGATACTGTCACTCAAGCGAAAGCAAAAATGCTGGAGATTTTATATAAAAATGTGCCATACTCACAGAGACCTTCCGTACATAGTACAAATCTAGGTAATTATTATCTATAATTATGTACTTTTCGAACATCAAATAATTTGAAATTGATAATGATTTCTTTCTTTTACATTGTTTCCACAGTTTTTCAGAGACGAACAGCAACATTTTAAGTTTTATAATACAATATTTTTTTTTAAATCACTCCGTTGCTTTACAACTGTAACAATGTACTTAAGGCGATTGTATACCAGACATAGATAGTTGAACTCTTTATGTATAAATTGTAGAGGTCGAAGAAGGTAATGGGGGATCTAAACGTTTCTTAAGCGATGAAGATGCGTCAAGTACAAAAGATGGTATCTGGAAGAGAATAAATACACTTCAGCACTACAAAATTCAAGATGGGGCTAAAGTCTATCTCCTTTTGAGCAAAGAATTAAAAGAATCCTTGACGGCAGTTGCAGCCGGAGGTAAACAAACTTATAATGTATTTGAGTAAATGATAAAACAAGAATAAACAAGTTTGTATCCAGATAATGTGGGACAATCAATGAATTGTTACCTCTTTTGGACCTTTCGAATTGTATTATACAAAACAAAATAATGTGTACTTTAACACCCGCACCTAATAGTCCAGCACATGTTGAAAAAAATATTTTGTTCAATATTGGACATACTCCGAATTAGCAAGCCTAGCTTAAACTAAGGCAATGTGAATCACATATATATCTGTCAATGCAATGATAATTATCAGCTTGATAACTAACGCACCTGCTTGGTTGATTTAGTTCATTTTTTGAGATCTGAAGAGCAATGCACCCTGATTGTAAAGAATGAATAGTTGTTTTTAGATTTGTCTCGCACGTTACTTCTAGAGCCACAAAACTTTGTAAGAACGTTTGTCAGCATGTGACCTTACACACATTGGTTTCTTGTTTCAAATACATGGAGACATTGAGATTAGCAGAGAAATACTTCCCCAGATGGAGCCTTAAAAACTAAATCATATTTTGAATTTTGTCACATATATCTTACAATAGTATACCTGCTGTGTTTATGTACACCAGTCATTGTTCAGAAATATTGTGACTATACTGTGGAATGTGGGGACATCCGTGTCACATGTACTTCTTATGAAAGGAAATACTAGCATATGTTTTGAGTCATCAATCTGGAAGTACGAGTACTGAAATGAAATATTGCTTACGCAAAATTTTCTTTTAAATTAAGGATTTAATGCCGATCTTTTTTTTAACAATTGTATAATGTGTGGGTAAATTTTTTCATGCAGTTTTCTGTCTTTATTTGTAACCAAAAATGAATGATAAAATTTTTAGACCTCCACCACAACTTAAACATGAGTTTATCAACAATTTGATGATCATGAAAAATAACATCAGTTACCTTTATATATACCATATCATGAAAGCAAATGTTAAAATAAGTCGAAATATATTGAAACAAACAAACACTTTCAATTCCGACTATCTACACCAAGTATATTAAAATTTGGAACTGGCTTTTCTTCGTGTTACATTGTTGATAAGACAAGTTATTGCATTTTATAGTTTTATGTATATATGAATTGATTTGGGCTGTATGTGTGTACTTAGAACATGCGTGGAATAGTTAAACATGTTAAATGTATTTAAATCAATCGAATAAGATATTAGTAGAGACCAAAAAAAATTACCGATAATTTTTTTTCATAACAGTGCAACACTTTAGATTTTATCACATTTTCTTCTGTATTTGTTATTACAAATATTTTGAAGATGGCTTCGACTACGTGTATTCATCTACAGGTTCATTTTTTAAATATTTGATTGACAGAAAAGTTAAACATTGCGTCAAAACAAGAAAACCTTTTATATTTTACAGAATCACCAGGTTCATTCATAGTCGGTAGTTTAAGAAGATCTAAACCTGTTGTAAGGACAATCAGTGGGTCAAACTTTTGGCACCTGGTAATTCCGGAATGAAATATGCATGCACATACATTATATCAATATACATATGTTAAGAAAACATTCAGTTGTACAATTGATATAGCAATAATTGTTGGACTGTATTAAACGATTATTTTCATCGTTTGGTTTGTTTATAGCATGTCTATACTCCTCTTTTCCATTTAAAATTCGTCTTAAGAATTTAGATGAAAACGTAGCAAATTTTATTTTTACTGTCACGGAAAGTCATAATGAAAAGGTAAATTTACATTTGATCCTTCAATCAGTTAAATGCTTTTATATTCAACCTCGCCTAGTCAATATTGTATTACACATATAAAAAATAGCCTTGCAAGTATGTGCAACCCTGAAATCTGAGCAAATTCAAAATTGTATACTTCAGAAGCATCTCAAGTAACAACGAACATTTCCAATTTCAGATAAGAATGATCAAATTTATAAGATGTTTAGTGTAATGGTTGAGTACTGCAATTATTCATTAGTGCTTTAAATATGATTAACTTATCTATCTTATCCTACTTGACTGATTATCGCTCTATTGTTGTATCATATTCCGGACAATTTCCTGTTATAAATATTACTTTCTACCTTAATAAATAGGCATGTGATAATATTCTTACCTTGCTGGCCATGTAAGAGCAGAACTTATACTGGCACTTACTACTATTCTTTAACTTATTAGGAAATCAAAACTGTGTAAAGCAAAGAAAAGGCTCTTTATATATGTTTGTATGTAAATAGAATGGTATCTGACTGCCTAATTTTAGGCACCTCTGGAAAAAAATACCAAAATAATCTTTGTAACAAAAATTTCGGAATCAATTACCTTCAAGAAAATGTTTATTTTGATTAACTATCAAATGTTACCTCCGAAAGTAATCAGCCTTTGCAAATAGTATAGATCCGGACAAGCGTGAACTTCGGTTTAGTTTGACCATACTCTATACTGTTAGCAGTTCAATTTTCGTAAACAATGCATTGTGATATCATAATTCCTGAAAATTCAAATTGACTGGTTTAGGGTTATCATTCCTAGTGATTGTCAATGTTAATAATGGTTAAATATATTAGATTATACCAGTTATAATGAATCATTTTAGTATTATTAGTAGATAAGTTAGACCTGCAAGATAAAGATCTAAGAATAAAAGAAATTATCTCTTTTTGGATATGTTTTTCAGACAAAGAAGCATCATACCGATGACGATGTGCAATTATCGAGTGATCTATTTCTTCCGAGATTGCTTAACACAAAGGTAGGAGGTCTGAGAGATGTTATATTTATCATTGTTTTTTTAAACGCTTTTGCAATTATCTTTTTGTGTGCTCATCGCTGTTCTCAAATATATATATAAGTAAATATGAGTGAATATTCCAACAACTACAATTTGAACTTTTACTTGTTAATAAACACTTTTTGTTTGATGTAAAGCTTTTGTTGATATCATTATGCTCCCATCATTTGATTGCAGATAAATTCTCTCTTAATAATTATTTTAAAATGATATAAATTTAAATTTCTAAACTAAAAATGTACATTTTCAGTAATGTTACTTAGAAAATATATGCAAGATTGTTCAACAATGTACCTTATTATGGTTAATTATTGTACATAAAAACATAAACTAAACGCATACAATTTATTAAGTTACTAAAAAGTCGCAAGCGGCCAACAATGAACCTGTTGCGTTCATGTTAATAGAACTAACAATACCACATTTTCTAGTAAAGCTGCAGCGTTAAATAACGACCCGTTCATGAAAAGTCCATCATAACCATCGGAACGCTCAGCTCTGACACATTTCAGCTCCTATTGAGAGGACACAATCATTTTAAGTTTCTAGATAGCCAGATAGTGCGCTTAAGGTGTGGTCTAAAAGACCCGGATGTTCTACATACCTGGAAGTGCAACAGGTAAACACGTTTTGGCATATCCGAAATCGCTGTAATGAGTCTGGTATTCAAAAAAAGTTTCGTCAAAATACACTCCTTCTCGAACAATTAAGTACAAGGGAAATACTCCGAATACTGTTTACCCCGCATGAGCCTATTCACTTGTTTCGAGTTCCGTACATGGAGATAGTATTTCATTTATATATACAGGTTACTCGACAAAAACAAATAAACATGTCAGATAGCGTGTCCCATATGCACAGTGCGCATATCACCAGGCGCTTTTAACGCCGTGCTCCCGCTGTGGCTTAATCTCCAAATCAATCTCACCGCTGTGCTATAAAAGTCACCGCGGCTCTTTCTATTGTTCAGGGGTTAACAATTCCGTAAAGCGTTTGCAGAATCGCGGACACAATGATTAATCCAATACACAGCGATTGTCAATCAGCACGTGTGATAACGGTTAAACAGGTTGTTTTTGGGATGCAATAAATAATCAATGTACAAAGTCTGTCGGTCCTCGGTCATGGCTGAATAAAAATATGCAGTCCGAGATAAAATTCGTTACCGTCAGTCCTCATGTTCGAATAAAATTCCAAAAGACTTAAAATATCAATGACCTGTTTGATAATAATCTCTCGTTGACGCAAAGAAATTTGTTAAAGAACCTGTCTGCAATAAGTTACATCAGCAATGGTAAAATTTTGCCGTAAATTACAAATTTTAAAATTTTGTTTTACGATGATTCTTGAAATATCCCATGAATTACAATCTTAAAATAATCAAAAAAATTAAATCTAATATAATCAGAAAACAGACAAATTTTCATTTGTCACATATTTTCGCGATGCCGGATTTTTATTATTTAGAAAAGTAACCAAAATGAAACTATAATTTGTTAAAATTTGTGTTATAGCACTTTAAATGTAGTTTATGAATTGAATTTACTTAAGTTATTGTTAACATTAGTTAAGATGGAGAATCACATACTTATGGGGGGTGTGGAGTGTATTAGGAAGAACACGGCATATTGGTCTAATGATGTAGGGTATTAGAAATTATCATTCAGATCTTTTCAATCACTTCTTTATGATACAGTCTTTCCCGTTTTCCTATTACAATAAGCTTTTTTCTCAGTTCAAATTCTGACTCCCTCCCCCTTACTCTGTTTATTCATCATATATATCAACTGCTTATATAAATAAATATTTTACATGATTTTGGACTCCTATTTTAAAAATAATAGTGAGATTTCTGTTTATTTAAATGGGTCGTTTCTACATTGATGTTCATATTAATTTAAAGAAAGACTATCAGTTTTTAAGAAGAGTGACTGTGAAGATAAACAGTTAATATATATAATTATTGTTTATAAAATGATTTTTTCTTTGTGTTGTTTTCTTAATTTTATGATAATAATGTGATAAATTGTTGCAAATATCTGATATCTTTTTTGCTTACAAAGACTCTTAAATACAGTAGATTTTTATGTAGCAAACATAAAAATAGCAAAAAAAGTCGTACCTACCCCCATTTCTGCGAAAAACTTGCCCCTATGCAAAATTCCTGGGGAAAGGCCAATTTGTCTTTAGTCATCATGTGGCGTTAAAGTCTCAATTTTGAATTGCTTAGGGCAGTAGATGTACTGGTAGAAGTGGTCATCTCTTATTTATTATGTAAACGAAGTTGGGGGGGTATTTAGGAGTTACCTGGTGGTCAGTCACTTGGTCGCTCTGTCCAGCGGTCCGTTGCATTTTCCTTGTCCGGACATTTTAAATACAACTTCATACAATGGTAAAGCACATTGAGAAGAAGTTCAGTGCACAAGAACCATAGCTTCATCTTGACTAATTACAGTTATTGCCTTTGTTACTTTTCCATTGCTTTTTTTATCCGGAGCATAACTTGAAGACTGATGGTTGGAATTCCATACACCTTCATACAATGGACAAGCACATTAAGCGTAAGTGCAGTGCACCAGGGGGCCGTTTTATCAACGCTCTCAGACACGTCGTAGGCTAGTTTTTTGTCGCAGACATGTCTCAGAACGTTAAGACCGTTTTATTAACGTTTGTCGTAGCCTACGACGTCGTAAAAAATGTCGCAGCTCTACGACAGGGTTAGGGCTGTCGTACGACGTTACTGTAACGTCAAGACTGGCGATCACTGTTTACATGTATACATGCTCAGCACATTAATTTTTATGAAATAACTTTTTTTTTAAATAAAAGTTACCGTGGATGAAAAGCACTAATGTTTAAATTATCAAATTTTATGATAAACTGCAATATACAGTGTACATATAATAATTCAGTCTGCACAGTCTGCACAATTTGCATGTTGTATTAATTATTCATTTTAAATCTTTAAGAAAAATCTAGAATCCGAACTGTAACCATAACTCCATTTTGACAAATTACAGAGTAATTGCCCTTTGATACTTTTCCTTATCCGGAGCATAACTTGAAAAGTACTAGTTGGAATTCAAAACAACTTCCTACAATGGTCAAGCGCAATAAGAGGAAGTGCAGTGCCCAAGAACAATAATTCTGTCCAGAGTTATTGCCCTTTGTTACTTTTACATTGTTTTTTTCTGGTCCGGAGCATAACTTGAAAACGTTTAGATAGAATTCAATACAACTTAATACAACAGCCATGCACATTGAGAGGAGTGCAGTGCACAAGAACCATAACTCTATCTTGACTAATTACAGAGAAACTGTCCTTTGATACGTTTCCTTTTCCGGAGCATAACTTGAAAGTTAATGGTTTTAATTCAATGCAACTTCTTGCAATGGTCAATCACAATAAGAGGAAGTGCAGTGCACAAGAACCATAACTCTATCCAAAGTAATTATAGAGTGATTGCCATTTGTAATTTTTCCTTGTTGCAGAGCATAACATGAAATCTAGTGGTTGGAATTAAATACAGTTTCATACAATGATCAAGTATATTGAGAGGAAGCGCAGTGCACATAAATCATAACTCTTCTTTGACTCATTTAAGAGTATGGCCCTTTGTTACTTTTTATTGTCCAGTTCATAACTTGAAAATAATGGTTGGAATTCAATAAAACTTCATAGAATGGTTAAGGGAAGTGAGATAAGGTGCAATGCACAAGAACCATTACTTTATTTGGACTAGCCTACATGTAATTACATAGTTATTGCCCTTTGTTACTTTTTGTCCAGTGTATAACTTGAAAACTAGTAGATGGAATTCAATACAACTTCATACAATGGTACAATGGTCAAGTGCAATGAGAGGATGTGCAGTGTACAATAACCATAATTCCATCTTCAGTATTTGTAGAGTTATTGCGCTTTGTTCCTTTTCCTTGTCCGATGCAAAACTTATAAACTAATATTTAGAATTCAATGCAACTTCATACAGTAGTCAAGCGCAATGAGAGGAAGTGCAATGCTTAAGAAGCTCAACTCTTTCTGGACTTATTACAAATTAATTCAATAAAACTTCATCAATGGTCAACCACAGTGAAAGGAAATGCAACATACAAGAATCACAACTATCTTTAATTGCCGACAACCACAACTCTTTTTCAATTACTTTACAAGGTATCCTGTTACTAGATACTTCCGCATTTCCGAAGCAGTCTTGCGAGGGTATTAATCACATTTAGTAATAGTTCGTTCGTTCTAGTAATATATGCTGCTGTCCAGAAACGGCAAGAATAAATGAAATGTTATGCAGTTCATGAACTGATTTCTCATGGTTCAAATGGAGGACTTAAGGGAACGTTGAATCTTTGCTCCGATAGAAAACATTTTAGTTTCACCACTTAAGGATATTTGTTCAGCACTTTTCTGATACTTGTATGACCTATACTTTGAATCTTTACTCCGATTTAAAACATTTTAGTTTAACCACTCAAAGGATGTTTGTGAAACAAAAACATCGAAAGAACATAATGACGTGTATATACAATATTTACTAAACAATGCTAGCTGTTGTAATTGTTACGCAGAATTTGGAACAATTTAAGATTGTCTTCTCTTAATTACTACAGATCAACATACATTCAATTGAAATTTAAATTCTGATTGTATTTTTGTTGGGATCGTAAGAAAAAGAAGGACGTCAGTAGTATAATGGCAAATATATACAATACCTATTAAGCAATGTTAACAATTGAAATGATTTTACAAAAGCATTAAATAATAATTCTATATTAATAAACTGTGTTTTATTTTGCTGACAAACATATCTTTGAGATTTAAAGTAAATATTTCAGTTTGTTGCTACGTTTTTGGGTGAACATTATCAAGAACCCGGAGTTTGTGTTTGATGTTCACAAACCACTTATTGTCGACTCCTGTCTGTCTGTTGTTGCTCAAACACTAATGGACAGTTGCTCTACAGCTGATCTTGTTCTTGGTCCGGTAAGATACGAAATATTTATGCTCTTTGTAAAAGCTGTCATGATAAAATTATGCAGTTTTTGCAAACAATTAGTGTTTATATTATTTTTTGTCTTCAGTTTTAGTAACCGAATAGTTTCATCTTGATTTTGTTCTTTTTAGTATCTGGGACACCATTTAGGTTCTTGCATGGACACAATATTTGTCATTCACAAATAACTAATAGTCAGTTTTGCCGCATAAAAGCTTATTATTACATTAATTTCTAGACTTAATGTTATTGTGATTTTGAAATAGATATTTTTAAGGTTTTATTTGAAACTTTCGTGATTTTTAAGATGCGTTATGATTAATGTATAGTTTTCATGAAATCTCTGTCATAACATTTTAGAGTTCACCATCAAATAAACTCCTGTTTGCCAAAGAAATACCCAAATACAAATCTTTGGTACGTCAGTACTTTGAAAACATGAAAATGGCGCCAGCAATCAGTGACCAAGACCTTAATTCGTACCTTACACAAAATGTATCACAGGTAAGGAAAGGGTTCAATAAAAAGTCATCCAAAAATATGTAATTATTCAAAACATCTTTCAGTTCATATGCATTATCTTGTGTTATTTAAAATGCAAAGAAAAACTAATGTCATGACAAGTGTTGTCTAAAAAATACGTATATCTTTAAAGCTGTAGTGCGCTGTGTTGCGCTGTATTTAGGGATGAGACCTTTTGTTTGTATTTTCAATTAACCTCCTTATGTAAAGCTGACACAAAATCACCGCCAGATTTACTATGTTCTGCTGTTGAATATTCGAATTTAACCGATTAAACATTTTATAGAGTTTACGTGTAACATATTCTCTAGATAGCTTTAGTTAATTAGACGAAAAGTTGAGATATTTTCAGAAATTTTTAAAATGAATAAAAGTACTGGCCTGTGTTTTCTAAACATAACATGAATCTTTTGCAGAAATTTTACGGAAACACCAACCAATCAAGTGCTATAATGCAGATGTATAAATACGCAGCCAAATACAAGAATGAGGTACATAATGAATGTTCTAATAAACACTTAACTTGCAGTATTTCTTTAATGAACTTTTCTAGCTTCGATTTTTTTAAGTTTAGGGATATAAAGATGAAAAACTAGTTATTTAGTGGACAGATTGCATGGATGTGCATGTTGAACTTGTAATATACGAGTACTGATGTCAAAGGCCAACCACTTTCAGTTCCTGTAAGTTAACTGTTTAGACGATTAACATTTTAATAAAATAAAAACATTTCTTAGTTCAATAAATCCTACTGCTACATAGATCTAATCCGACACTATGGATATTTTTCCCACATAAAATATCCGAAATATATATTATTGTATATACAATATATTGCATATATGTTTAGTGTATAAGAATACTCAAAATACACAGCAATAGCATTTCCGAAGTTTATATTGCATTACCAAAGTTTGTAATAAAATGTTTTCATGTAAGGTGAAGGAGTGAATACAAAAGTCATCAAAAGTTTGTTGTTTCAGATTTATAAAGAGATGAGCAATCCAGAAACACCTTCCCCTGGAAGTTTTTCAACTCTCGTACCAAAGCTGGAGTCTGTTTTTAAAGCCATGGATTGCTAGATACAATATAGAAGAATATCTCTATATAAAGATTTGTAGAAACATACTTACAGGTGTATAAATGATCGTATGGGACATTCAGAAACTAAGAAAACAGGCGGAATGAAATTAAACAAATATTCTATAAACTATGAAAAGAAAGAGTTTATACACCAAATCTTACATGTTACGTTCTTGTAAAATTTACACATATGCTAATATTCTTATCATGATAATACATAATAATCAACTACCTATGTGTAGATATTAAATTGTAAGTTGTGCACATGAATGAGCATGTAATTGTTTCCGTTTTCTTTGAATATGTCATTTCCTTGTCATTTTTATTAAAGATATTGAAAATCAATCCTTTAAAAAAAAAAATCGACACTTAATTCGCAAATTTAAAATTTATAGAATAGCACTTTTCAAGTAAGTGTACAAGACATTTGAAATCGGCTAGGGTATTTTAAAATCATAAGTAATAAAAAGAACAGAAATGCAACATCAAATATAATCATGTATGAACGTATTCTAAAGAGGTGTATAAATAAAATTACTTTTGCATAAATTTTTTGAATATTGATGTGTGAGGTTAAACTTAAATCTTATCAAATGCTGTTTTTTTTCTATTAACAATGTAAAACATAAATTTCTATTTATTTTTCGAATATTTACCTGATAATATAAATGCTATGTATTTGGTAAGAGTTTCTGTTTTCGGAAGTGAACTGTCACTTTTTGTGTGTGATTGATTGTTTTTTTTCTGTTTTATGTTGTTTCTGTTTTGTTTTTAGTGTATGTTGTTTTGTCACTGTAATACAACACTTTTTGCTACTGCAACACCCAACTGATAAAATGACGTCAGTTTCAAATTTAAAGCATTTAATTGTTAGCAAAAAAGAGAGAAAATAAGTCTAGTGTATAAACATAGTAAAAATAAGTCCTGCGTTCAATTGTTAAATCTTATTTGTTTATATTTATTTATAAATCGTATATTGCTTTTTTTAAATTCTAAATGATATCAAGATTTAACATGTCATTTTAACATTGGATATGCCGTTAAAATAATTATTCAAAAATTTACATTTTTATAGCAGTCGCAAGAGCATTATATGTAAATCTTTGGTGTTGGGGAGTGTTTAAGTATAGGTTAGTGTTTAATAATACGTATTAACAAAAATAATTGGTCAAGCCTGCCGCAGGCAACATTATTTTTTTTTCAACCAAAAACAAGGCATTTCTCTAAATCACCGATAGCTCCGCCCTTTCGCTCTACAATATATCTACACCTTGTCAAGTTTCTAACATGTCACATTAAGATAAGTTAAATAAATGGCCCTTTCAGCATATAATCAGGTACATTTTTTATTGAAATAAATGTATACTTTTATCTATTGTAAGACTATCATGTTTCTATAAAATATCTGAAAAAAACAGCGAAGAAAAGAGGAAAACGATGCAATTAGGTAAAACAATGGAGTTAATGAAATGTGTACATCCTTTTAAAATAAATGGAAAATGTGAGAAAAATACATTAGAGATTATTAATCAATTGATATGCTTCAAGTTATTCACTAACATTTAAAATCCCTATTGATTTGCTCATTTGAAAAACAGTTCATTTTTTTTATTTTTCTGTGTGTCAATTTAGGTTAACAGGTGGATGGGGTCCATTTTCAATGAGTTTCCCAGCCAAAAATGTAATCACTGTATTCTTAATATCAAGGATTGTTAATGCAGTTCATTCCTATCAAGTGAAAGAAAATAATGTTTTGGTTACTTTTTCTAGAAATTATGAAGTTTAAAAGAGTCAGCAATTTACATTTTTCTTAGAGTTAAAAAGATATAAAACAAAATACTATGTAATCATTTGAGCCGCGTCACGTCAAAACCAACATAGTGCGTTTGCGACCAGCATTGATCCAGACCAGCCTGCGCATCCGCGCAGACTGATCAGGATCCATGCTGTTCGCCATCAGTTTCTCTACTTGTAATAGGGTTGGTAAGATAAATTAATTGATTGTATCCTCCTCACATTTAAAAACACCTGACCTCGCCTTATTTTTTTACGTTGGCATTGTTTTGCTCACCTAGATATTTTACAATTCTACAATTCAGAGTCTAACTCCTCCCTAATATAATGCATTATTGAAATGTGTTAGACTGGGTTAGACGACAGATTAAGTAATTTTATTTAGTTAGTACACATTAACCAAAGTTAGACTTAGCAGAAATTTGATAAATACTATGATTAGACAAAAAATAATGTTGATCATTAAACATGATGACTGTAGGCACTCTATACATTTCCTGAACAACGAATATAATATGCCGAGAGATTTGTAATATTTCATACAAACGTTTCTAAAATAAAATATTAATTGGATCCTATGAGACAATTAAAATAATTTGCAGATAGGAATTAACTAGATATAACATTGTTTTTAATAAACATACTATATGTACATGTATTTGTTATATTTTGCCAAACAATTTAACTTATATTGTTTACCATGCTGTGCTGTGAAAACACTTGAAATTGTATCATTACAGGACAGGAATGTACGATATATATTATAATTTTGATACATTTGTTCTATTTGATCAGTTCAGTTTCTGCGATAAAAGTCACGTGGTCATATGGATGAACCATCCAAGATTTTGATAATCACATGTATGTTGTAAATAATGAGTTTTGTTAAGTGAGCATTCAGATCAATCCAATTCGTTTAAGTGCACATAAAATGGACATGCATCAGTACATGATGCATGAAATACCACACAACTTTATAAAATATGCACCTGTAGCATTGATGTTGTCTTTGTTTTTTTTAGTATATTTTTTGTATTGTATATTTATATGCACTTAGCTGTAAAGCAAACTCTCTCTCTGTAATTATAAAAACCTTAAATAAATTATTACTCGTAGATTTATGAACATTTGGTTGTGCTTTGTAATACATGTAATAATAACACGTGTGTTTTCTTTACTAAATATTATCCTTACCTTTGAAATGATCAACGCTGGTTGGTACAAATAATAGTCAGCCTTTTTTAGATGTAAGTTTAACGTTTTATTCAAATTCCAACGGACTTGTTTTGTACATTTGTATGATTGGTACATTATGTGTTATATGAAATTATACCAGAAGCCACCATTACATTTTTCCAGACCTCCTTACGCGCGAAAACATCATTTTTAGTGCTTGTATGCAATCTGCATTGTAAGCTTAGCACTAAAACCTTCCAAATTTTACCATTTCATGTTAAATGTTTAATACTGCATAAGACGGTGCTCTAGGGCGTGGACGGTAATTTGCACTTTTAATAACCGTCCATGAACAGGCTCAATAAAACTGAGCCTGAAACAGTTTCTATTTCGTCGTTTTGTGCGTTGTTTAGGGATTCGTTAGTTCTCTCTATTTCGTCTTTTATACTTTGGCCTTATTATCATTTTTCATGGCATGAGTTTTCAGTCACATGATTGCCTCTTGTAAATATACCATAAGCTTCTCCAAAATCAGTTATTGAATACCCAAGTTGTAGCAGTGTCGTAAAATCTGAAAAATAAAGCTAATGAGTATTCCGTTCTAGGTTATAATGTAAAACTTAAATAAAAAGCTTTGGTTTTTCCTCTTAAAGTATTATGCGCAAAATTCTCTATTTTAATGTTTGGGAAAGATTCGAATCAGCGGATAGCCTAAATGCTTTAAAACGTTAAGGGTAATCATCTCAAATAAGATTCTTTTCAAATGTCAGGATATATATAAACATTTGTATTTATAAAAACATCTTGTTTAAATTTTTTGTCTAGTTCAATTATTTCTGTTTAGCTCTGATTATTCATAAAGTATATTTTAAGTAAATAATTATTTTATTCAATGGAAATCTAATATCTTTGTTATTTAAGAAAAGATTTTTTTTCTGAAAAAAACTCGACAATTTGCGATGTTTAAATTTTAAAATAATAAATTAATTGATAATTAAACATTTTCATTGGCAAAACTTTATAAAGCATTAATCATTTAAAAAATAGATCTGAGATTTTTTCATGTTCATGTTCATACAAGGCAAACGTTCACAGGACGCAGCCCACCGACACACTTAAGCAGGGCAACAAACCAAAACCGGGAGTGCACATAAGGGCGGCGAAAGGAGAGGGGCACATAATGTGTGAAATAATAAAACTAAAACGGTTAAACGGAGGGGGTTGCGTGAGAGAATCCATACAGTCAACGACAATCCAACAAAGCAGACATCACAAAACATGCACACATTTAAAAGAAGTAACAAACAGACATGAAAAACACGCGAATGAACACATTATCTTCAAGTCTGGAAATAATAAAATATTTGTTCCGTTCGGTTCTGTTCTGTTATGGAGTTATATAGGTTATATAGAAGCCATTTCCGATGCTTTGATTATCTCATTTATGTAGACGATTATTATTTTCATCAAAAGATATTTTAAATATATTCTTAAAGAACTTAAACAGATTAAAACAAATTCCTGGAATTTTACATCATTCTTTTTATTTTTTTATTTTTCGAAACGAAATATGTTCATTACTAGCAGCCTTTTTAAACAGGGCGACCTCTATCATGAAATACCGAAATATTTTAAAAGTTTTATACTTGTAATTAATTGCGATTTAATTTCTAAATGCAAATCTTTGAAAAGTTATTTAAAAGCATTAAGTATAAAAATACAATGAAAATCCTTCAAATAGAGCTTACTAACCTTTTATCAAAGATAGTTTGAACAGTAAGACCCTCCAGACCTGCATGCTCTGGTTTTATGCAACTATTCCAGAATGGCAATTATCCTTGGAAGTCCAGTGTCACTTTTCTGCCGATGATTGACATTAATCAAAGTGACCTAACGTGTATAATTTCAACTCTTTTGTTCATTTGCAAGCAAAGAGAGAGATACGGCTTTCCACCTATTGTGACATTTGATCAACCGTTTTTTTTTTTCTTAAAATCAACAGCTGTTATTAATAGTGAAGTTGACAATAGTCCTTTGAAAAACATTGTTCTTCGCCTTGGGGGCTTTCATACCGAGATGAGTTTCTTTAGGAGCATAGGGATTTAATGCGGACAGGTTTACAAGAGTTGCATGAAAAAGTGTATGACCCTAATGCAAAAATACACATGATGTCTGGGAAGTCAGTAGCAAGAACAGTCCGGGGACACTTCTTGATAGATATTGCTTTACATGCTTTACTTGATTCTGAAACATTTGGTATTAATCCCACAGATGTACCAGTTATATCAATTACCACCTGCGATCAAAATATTATACAATTTGAGATCTCTCTGCCACAGATTAGAATGAGCAAGATTAATAAAAACATTGAACTGAACATGACAGAGACGAGTATTTCAGAACAGTCTGCTATGGACATTAAAGGAGGAGAGACTAAGTTTGCCTCAATCAAACTGACTTGCATAGGTGAATGTAGCAAATAGCACCTATTGCCTTTTGTCAGATACATTTGATATTGAAAAAAGAAATGAAAGAAAAAGTTCAAAAGATTTAGTGCGACATTTGTATGCTTTAGTAGAGATGTCCGATCAGTGAGAATAGCGTAACGCTCAACGAGGTTGCTGTCTTTGAACTTCTATCTAAACTTGAAAAATGGAAAAGAAGTAGTATGACAGCCTCATTATGGTTAATGTATATGGATATGCTGTCTATCCTGTACAGGTTCTTACAAACTGAACGCAAAGGCGATTGGTGTGAGCATTTAGATGCTGTCAAGAGCTTGCTGTATTACTTTACGGCATGGGGCCATAGTTTATATTTGAGATCTGCGTATATTTACCTTCGAAATATGGTACAGTTTGACAAAATTCATCCAGATTTTTACCAGGCTTTTAGTGGAAATCACGTGGTGAGGAGACGCGACCGGTTTTGGTCAGGATTATCAACTGATCAAGTTTTAATGCGCAGTGTGAAAGCAACAGGGGACTTACGAGAGGACGAGAGGACGTGGTATATCAGATATTCAACGGGCGCAATGGCTTCTTTCTATGCCGGCATATGCAGATACATACAGCTGCGAACAATAACCAAGACCGTCTCTCAAGCCAGCGAACAGCACAAAGAAATCGGCAAACACGACAACGTCGTGACACAAAAGACACACAAACATTCCTTTCATTTCTCATGGAGCGCACACTTTTTGATAAAGAGGAGGAGTCGCTCAGAAATATAGATACAGGGTTAACAGGTAAAGTGACTGTTAATGTAGATAATGCTGTTTCTATGGAAATGAACGCATTGAAAGAAATGGTAGGGAAACCCGTTGCTAGTTATTATTTTAAGAAATCAGAGGAAGTATCACAATGGACACAAAATCATGCATTAAAGTGAATGACCAAGTTATTCATGTTGACGCTCAACTTTTATTTCAGAGGCTAACAGCTGCTGCAAACAGACATACCCTGAACTAAGTGAAATATTCAGATATGAGTTATGCAGTACGTCGTCTTCCCTTTTTGATATAACTGGACTCCCAAGACAAGCGGCGAAATCTGGACAAGCACATGTAATTTTGCATTAAGCTTTGACCAAATTCCGAGCACAGTTAAATACGTATTAGATGGAGAGTCACTCTTGCAGCAAAAGAACAGTACATTCGCTGATATATTCAATCAATATTATGAGCACATTCAACAATGTTATAGAGCTACTGTTGTTTTCGGTGATTATTCTTCTGGCCAAAGTGTCAAAGATGCAACGCACATCAGACGGAGAAAGGGAAATACTATAGATTCCCACGATATATTTTTCAAATCAGATATAAGATGCAGTGTATCTCATATACCCAAGCTATGGTATATTCAGAAGACAAAACAAGTGTTGGGACATGAAGTATGTCATTCTCCCCTATTTATCCATGCTATCACAGGTTGCGATTCGACATCATACATGTATGGCATCAGTAAATCTACCTGTATCCGTTTTTTTTTTCAAAAGGATTCCAAATTTTAAGACTTTCTTTAAAGATTCTGTATATCTCTATTTCCAGGTATATTCAACATATATTCGTCGCGAGAAGAAGTTGTGACAAGTGGAGAAAATGCTATTGTTTTATTATATGGAGGCGTTGAATATAAAGGACTGGATGTGTTGAGGTTAAGAAAATTGTCTAATAAGGTTTTAAATACTTCCAACCACGGTTAAGTACATACCTTACCTCCAACTTCCGCTGCTGCGATGTATCATAGTTAACGAATGTACGTACAAACACAAATTTGGCTTAGAAACAAACACAAATTTGGCTTAGAAACAAACCAGTTTTGCCACTGGAGTGGGGATGAAAACTTAACAATGGAAGCTTTGAACCAATCAAAACTGATTTACCACCAGCATCGGAAACGTTGCTTAAGATTATTTAGTGCAACTGCAAACAAAATTGCGATTCAAAGCGGTGTACACGCTGTAAACACGGATTAGAATGCTGTTCAGGATGCGATGCATGCCAAATGAACAGTTGTTCAAATTTGCCATCTATTGATGATAACGATATTGATGAAGAGCAAGATGACGTGCTCGTTTTTCAAATTACTTACAGTCAACCTAGTAGCTATTATGTACAAACGCAATTTTATTTCGTAATATACCAACATTGTAATTAGTTTTGTTCATTGGATGTTCATTCAGAAAAGTCTTACTCTGAACCAAAGTGGGTGGGGGTAATGCCACCCCTAATCTTACTATTAATGTTTTGTTATCTAACATTATTTATATTTTTAACCTAGAATTGTTGGTAAAATGCAATTTAAACTCTTTATTTATCAATTTCACTTCAAATGTGGAAGGTGGAAATAAAGTATTTGTTTCGTTTTGTTTTTGGGTTTTACGTCACATCGACACAGTATAGGTCATATCGCGACGTTCTAGCTTTACTGGTGGAGGAAGAC